CAATTAATTTTTGTATATAAATTTAGTTAAATGAAGACTAAATAGAACTTACGGTCAGGAGATTGATCATGCTGTATCAAATTCTACTTTTGCCCTTCTCTTGTGTTGAACCCTCTCTCTGCACAATGCGTGTACGTGAAGTCTTGAGGCACCGCATATCTCTCTGTAATTTGAAAGTAGCTTGTACTGTGACGGTAAAAGAGACCGGCACCCCGTTTCAGTAAAGATTGGTTCTTTCTACACGCACCCAAGAATCGCTGCTTCCTTTTGGTCCGTCGTCCCAGTCAGTTTTCGGCAACCAAAGGCTACACCTCCTGACTGATAAATTTCGACGGAATTTGGCTCCAATCATTTTTTTACTTTATCTTTTGTTTCCCGTGATTTTGTGACAGAAGAGTAGTCGAACTACAGCCAATCACTGGACATTTTCAAGTAGGAATGTTAGGTAAAAAGTTGTGTGACATTCAACAGGCAACAACACCTTTACTAAGCTGTTAACGTTATCACCACTTACTACCACTCTTACCATCTTTTAATGCTTTTACCGGTAACATCGTTTCACCCATCTTGAACAGTCTAACAGGTATTAGAATATCTCCATAAAGCAATTTCTCTGAGTGACCGGATCAAGTGAAGCATCAAAATGCGATGGAAAAATCATGCTGGACGGAATTCGCTAAAGACTGCTTAGTAGAAAGACATCATCATACACAAAGCACGCAGCAAAAAAATTTTGTCCGACCGATTGCCGAAGAGGTTCTTATTTTTAAATTTTGCTTCAATACGAGCATCCGTGCACGATTGTGGCATGCTATCAGCGTAGAGATAGCAAACAATTAGCTGTGCAACGCGGAATATCTGTGCAAAAAAGGACATCCATGCAATATTTTCCTGGTTGCATATCAAGTGAGCAGTAGTTGCACTTGGCCTTGACTGTCCCCAGCTATTTTCACTTTCTCACGAAACCTATACACTATAAAATAAAGACGTCTGATGGTGAGTATTTTGATTCTGCAATTCGCAAAGAATGTGTTAGATCTCAATCGCATTACAGAGAAGGCATGTGTACAGGCTTTCGTGGGAACACTGTTAGAAACGATCATGTTTGACAGGTTCGAGGTTCTAGGGATATACCATGTGACAAGGCATGTGTACAGGCTTTCGTGGAAACACTGTTAGAAACGATCATGTTTGACAGGTTCGAGGTTCTAGGGATATACCATGTGACGGTCTCACCTGATTGGCCATTGGTATTACTAAGTGACATGTGGGACCACGAGGAGACGATCGGACAGATGGGACAGGAAGAGACAGGGCGAAGATGTGACAGATGGGATGGCGAGGTGACAACTTGACGGTTGGGACTAGGCGATACCGTTGCAATATGTGACCGACGTACGGCATGTGCAGGAAAGATGGATGCCATCAGGGAGGTACATGGTCAAGTTGCAGTGCAGTTGCGGTGCATGTTGTAGCATGTACGGAGGAGAATAACTAATGCGAAATATATTTTAACTTTACATGCTAACAACCTCTGCACAAGTGCGCAGCAAGCATCTAAAACTTACAGGTTTTAAACCCAAAAAAGCGCGATGCCGGTGCAGCTTACAAAGTTGGACCTGTGGTGGTAACCGACGGTCCCAACAAGACCGACAACCATCACCTAGAATAAAATTCGGCAGCGCCCGTAGGGGTGATGGATCAGATGCTGGCTATGTTCGGGGACCGGTCCGATCGGATGAATCGAATGGAGGTCGCCCGGACGGATCAAGCCACCAAGGACCAAAAGGGGTCACCGGAGTAAATTTTTGGCTCGGCGTTGGGAGTGGGAGCAAGGACGAGCATTCAGGCTCTAGAACATACCCTAATCCCAAGAAGTCTCCTAACGTGTGACCAGCGTTGTACTTCATGGCAAGGCGTCAAGCGAATGTTAATGGACGACCGGCAGACCTTGTTTCAGCAGATCTCAACATGGGGCCGTTTCCTGAACCTGTACACCACAGACAGGAAGCGCATACGGGGTACATTCCCGGAGGAGGTATTTCAAACAGGAAGTATGGCCATCCTGGAATACAAGTAGCGGTCTTGCCGGGCGCGCAACATCGAAAGTTGGCGCTGCAACCCTTTGACGGCAAGGAACTCTACCACGGACTTGGTAGTAGGTTCCTTGAATAGGGCAAGGAATGTGTGCGTCAAGTCGGGTTCGCGGAGCGTACGTGTGGGTTCGCATGGCCGGAGGATGTCAAGGTTGATGTGCTGGGGAAACATCCGGCAGGCAAAGCGCAAAAGTACTATAGCCGGCAGGTAGAGACTTGGTGGGGTGGAAGTCAATCCTTGGAGCAAGCTGTGCAAAGGTTACTGCAGATCTATAATACCAAGATCTCACCTGCCCAAAGTATGGAGTTGTTCACGTTGCCGAAGGCAAGTCACAGAAGCTGGACGGACCATTCTTTGTACTTGACGGCCGTCAGCGATGCATGCGGTGGTGCGGACAGCCTAGTGCTCGACAACATTGTCCATTATGCAGACCCGCACATGCGTATGACCATGATATTCAGGTTGGATATACATCGGACCGACCCCTACGACAGGCTGAAGAGCTGGCACAGTTCGCGCAGTCGACGGAGATTGACACTCACGCAAATAACTCGGGGCGGGATGTGGTCAACGCTGTCGAATTAAGGAAGGAACCACAGGACAAGGTCAAGGCGAAGACTACCTTCACGGAAGGTGAAGAGCGCACATGTTACAAGTGTGGCGAAGTCGGGCACATCAGATCAAGGTGCCCCCACTCCAAGAAGAAGTCTACAAGAAATGACCTTACTTTTGCGATTAGAGATGGTGGTGGTCTGGAAGATGACCATTGGATTCTCGACAGTTGGTCTAGCAGACATTTGTTCAACGACCTGAGTCTGCTGGTGGACCCAGAGGACTGCCACAGCGAATGCTTGACAGCTGCCACTGACGGATGTGTGTTACGTGTGACCAAACGTGGAAGTGTTACCATTGAAGTTGTTGCACTTAGTGTCGTGAACACCATACGACTCCTCGATGTCCAGTGCGCTGCCAACCTCGAGCGTAATATCATTACGTATGGTAAGGTTGAGGCTAAAGGATGCGTACTCGAATATAGAGGAGGAAGGTGTGTGTTGGGGGGTCGGAGGCGCACCGGTGATGAAAGTTGATTGCAACAACAATTTGCTGGTTGTCTAGGTAATGGGAGGCAAAAACAAACCTCAAGCACATCACAAGAAGCGATGATGGCTGTGATCAATTCGCTTGAATATTAATCCGACTCGGATGTTCAAAGTGATACCTTGATGCATCTGTATCGCCAGTTGGGTCACCTATGTTTTGACACGATCATCAAGATGGCCAAAGACCCGGCGTCGGGTATCAAGCTGACTAACACGACGCGCATGAATTGTCTGGCGTGTGCCCAAGGAAAGCAAGTCAAGGGAAAGCATTCAAAGAAATACACGGGCAATAACTCACCTATCGATGTGGTAGGTGAAGTGACATGCTCCGATTTTAAAGGTCCGATGACCCTGCGAGATCGGCTGGGCAACCGTTACCTGGTCAATTTCATCGATCACCGGTCAAAATGTTGCCGTGTGTTTTTGGCTAAGTCGAAGGATGCTGCTGCGCTCAAGTTTAAGCACTTCCTTGTGAGCTTTGAACGTAAGTCCAATTGCAGGACCGTGTGCTACGCACCGACGGTGGTGGTAGAAATAGGACATTGTCCATGTTTTGCAAGGCTACGGGCGTATCGCTTCAAGTGGGTGAGGCTAGGAATCAAGCCAGAAACGGTAAGGCTGAGAAAATGCATTGTACCATTATGAATATCGTACGAAGCATGATGTTCGCTTCAAACCTACATCCGTGCTTCTCGGGCGATGCTTCTGAATATGCGGCTTGCATCCTGAACAGGAGTCGAACCAAGTCGAATCCTGGTGGAGTATCACCCATGGAGTTTTTGACGAAGAAGGTGCCCACGGTGAACGACATCGTGGTGTTCCGTTTAACGTGCACGTGCCATGTAAAAACCAGAAATTAGTCACTTGGTGAGCGCGGTAAGAAGGCCCTGATTATTGACAAAAGTGAATCGACGAAGGGGTACAAGGTGTACATCCCGATAGACAAGGTGGTTGTGGTGACACAACATGTGAGAAACGTTGAAACACTGACGGAAGAATAGAATGGGCAGTTCAAGTCCCACTTGGATAAGATCGCCGTTAGAGGAGACCCTTACTGATGGTCAAAACGTTCAGGCGCAAGCAGGTGGCAAGAAACGACTTACAAAGAGCCTAAAGACCGGAAGGTCAACATGGACAAGAGAACGACATGGCACAAGGTCGACAGGAAACCAACAGGCAAAGGAGATTTCTTTTGAAGGACCTGTTATGCAGCAAGATATGGTGAACGCAGTTGTGGTGCAAGACCCGAAGCACTATAAGGAGGCAGTCCAGAGCGACCACCGAGAGCAGTGGAAAATCGCTGTGACCGAAGAACTGGATGCCCTGAAGTCGAACGACGTTGGACGATTGTGGTATTACCTACAGGCGCACACGTCTTGCAAAACAAGTGGGTGTACAAGACCAGGAGTAACACGAACGGGAATATCGAGCGGTACAAGGCTCGTTTGGTTGTTTGTGGAATCGAACAAGTCTTTGAAGTGGATTATACCCTAACGTTCGCGGCCGTCATGGACTTAGGAACGGTGAAGTTGATCCTGGTGCTTTCAAGACGATGGAACGTACCTGCACGCCATGGTGACGTACCAAAGCGTACGTCAAGGCGGAAAAGGAGGAGCACTTGTACATCTACATGAAAGTGCCGAAGGGGATGAGTCTAGGCGAAAAGGAGCTCGAAAGTCTGGGAGTCAAGACTTCAAGCGATTTCGCGCTACTGCTAAAAAAGTCATTACATGGACTTAAGCAGGCTGGACGGTTGTGGAGAAAACTACTTGACTCCAAGCTGCGACAAAGTGGATTTCAGCGATGCGTGACGGACATGTGCCTGTACTCAAGTACAAAGACAAGACATGTACAGTGGTCGGTGTCTATGCGGATGATCTGTTGGTCACAGGCACCGAGAAAAGCGCTGTAAACGCGTTTTCCGCTGAGGTGAGCTTATTGTCTATCAAGGACCTAGTGGTCGTGAACAAGTTCCTGGGATTACGAATTCAACTGGACGGGTCGAATGGTTCCGTACTGGATCAAGAGGTCACGATCGACCTGTTGCTAAAGGAGTTCGGTATGGAGTCAGCGAATGGAGTGCGGACTCCTACTGGAGACGAACGCAATGAGGATAACGAAGATGATCTGGACTATTTACCTACTAGGAGCGCAAAGTGTGATTCAAGTGTTAAGACGTTCCAGTCGCTGGTGGGAAGCTTGCTATGGATCGAAAGGTGCAAACGTCCAGACATTTGCTTCGCAGTGCATAAAGCCACGAGACAGACACACAAGCCGACGTCCAAGGACTGGAAAACATCCAAGCGTATCTTGAGATACTTGAAGATATCGAAGGGTTTAAAGTTTCATCTAAATGGTGTTGGATCAACGACAGAAGACATCCGAATCGAGTGTTGGAGCGATGCCGATTTTGCTGCAGACAAGGCCGACAGTAAGTCAGGGTCAGGATGTGTACTCACGATGGATAGTGCTGTTTTTCTGTGGTAATGCAAGAAACAATCAGGGGTGTCGTTGAGTACGATGGAGGCCGAATTCATCTCAGCGTCGCAGGCAGGACGTGAGCCACTAGGCACGAATAATATGCTGAACGAGCTAAAGTTGCGTGTGCGCGAGACTATGCCGATGTGGATCGACAATCAAGCCGCCATCAAGCAGCTTGAATCGGAGAAGAGTACCTCGAGCTCCAAACACGTAAATATACGGTTTAAGTTTATCTGTTATTATGCTTAGCAGATATGGTGGTGCCAAAATTCATCAAGTCGGAGAACATGATGGTGGACACACTGACCAACGCCCTGCCCGCGCCAAGAATGAAAAATTGAGAACGATGTTCAAGTTGAAATCCGCTCAGGATGACACCGAGAAAGAGTGATACAAACGATCATGTTTGACAGGTTCGAGGTTCTAGGGATATACCATGTGACGGTCTCACTTGATTGGCCATTGGTATTACTTAGTGACATGTGGGACCACGAGGAGACGATCGGACAGATGGGACAGGAAGAGACAGGGCGAAGATGTGACAGATGGGGTGGCGAGGTGACAACTTGACGGTTGGGACTAGGCGATACCGTTGCAATATGTGACCGACGTACGGCATGTGCAGGAAAGACGGATGCCATCAGGGAGGTACATGATCAAGTTGCAGTGCAGTTGCGGTGCATGTTGTAGCATGTACGGAGGAGAATAACTAATGCGAAATATATTTTAACTTTACTGCTAACAACCTCTGCACAAGTGCGCAGCAAGCATCTAAAACTTACAAACACTGCGCATTTGAGAATGTTAGCGTAGTCGGTAGGTCATGATTTTACCTGTGCCGATTTTCCTTCTTTGTTGGGGCTAGAGGGTAGCGGGTTGGCGACGGACAGCAGGGGTGGTTGCTGTGCAACCTCCCAGTTAAAAGCTTGCTGTATAATCAAATCAGAAAGCCGCTAACCAGCACTCACCTTTGGCCAATGAGCGCCCAACCTGTCAACATGGAACCCCTAGGCTCGTTTTTGAGGCCTGTTATTGGCTGGAACCGTTCAAATTGTCATGAAATAATCATTTACTGCCTCCAATTTTTGGCATCGATTCATTCTTATAGCACTTCGATCGCTTTGCAATGAAGAACCTAAACGACTTGGAACTACTTGAAAAACTTGGAGAGCATGTGTTTGCCACCCTAGACGAGGCCCCGAGCAGCAGTAGACTCCCAACTGCAAGAGGAGGGATTTTTTTACTATCAAGCGTACAAGGCGAGTCGGTAACAAAAAAAACAATGCCATGTAAGCAGTGGTTCTCTGCTGTTCTTGTGGAGCACAACATCCACGGCCATAGCCAGAGTCAGAAGCAGAACAGCAACAACGCAAACGCGTGCGTGGAAGCCGGATAACATGATGTACCTTAAACTGCGCCATACGCCTTCAAATGGCACAGAGTGAGCGTTGCTTTTTATGACAAGCAATACAATCATGCACCCTCTGCCGACCCTTCTGTCCACCCCCAAGGACGCGCTTCAACCCCAGCCCAACGCCAAGAGGATGTTCGGCTTGCTTCATGTGGGCTGCAACCAACGCGCATATTCAGTGCATTACGCAGAAAAACTGGGATAGCGACCCCTCGTGATGTGACAACTTGATTCAAACAGGGCGCAACAAAACCGCCATTCGGCTGGCCGCTCTCCTCTCCAAGCGCTGCTTGACTACTTTTAGGGGAAAGAGGCCGAAGCCCTTTCTTCACGCAGTTTGATGGCCAACAAAGGCTCATGTATCTGTTTATTGTTTCGACATCAGCAAAGGAATTATGCAGCAAGTTTTTATCAGGAAAAGTGTGGTGGATTGCCTCAACTTACAAGACTGACCGTTTTGGGCTGTCATTGAGGCTCGTTGTAGGCGTAACTACCACAAAGCAAATGTAACGTTTGCATACTGCCTCATGGCAGCCGAGACAAAGTGGATTACCTGTGGGCAGTGTAGCTTGTGGCACGCGTTTTGGAGCGGTTTGGGGTCATTCCATCCACCTTCGTCACTGACCGGAAGTTGGCCTTAATGAGCACGCTTGACAACGTGTTTCCTGTTGCTGACTTTCTTCTCTACCGCTGGCATATCAAAAGGAACATAACTGCCAAGCATCGGCTGTCATTTGACTCAATGGAGGCATTTCAGGAGCTACTCAAGCAGTGAAACGCTCTTGTGTCTTCAAACACAGTGGCATGTTTTGAACAGCTGCGTGAGGTTAAGCAAGAAGTGTTTACATTTTATGTCATGGCCTATCTTGAGACAACATGGCTTGTCGATAAGGAAAGGTTTGTAGACTGCTTTCTGCGAGGTAAGCTACACTTTGGCCATACCACCACGTCAAGGGTAGGGGAGCTCACACTCGGCATTAAAAAAAATGGATCTCTGTCTCCACAGGTGACCCTTCAGGAAAGATTTAGCCTTTCGTCTTGCTTGTGATGGGCAGTTTGCCACTATCAAACGACAAGCTGCCATCGAACGATCAATCACAGACATGCAATTTGGGACAATTTTGCGGCAGGTACGAGGAAGATTTCAGTTGCAGAACTGAAGTCAGCCTTTCGACAAATCAGATTGAGACTAGGAAATAGCGGGGAAGTCTGCTAAGGATTTTTTGCATCAAATCTCGGGCATTCTTGCGAGCACCGGTTCCGTGCGGGGTCAGCTGCACAACCAGCAGCAACGCCACTCTCTGCTGAATATGTTAGTGTCTCTGATGATTGATGCAGATATGTTGTGCAGCACCAGCAATACTAGCAGACTGGATAATGAAGACGCTCTCGGGCGGGTTTATAAGGAGTACAACAACCCTTGTTGTACTCCTTATAAACCCGCCCGAGAGCGTAGTGCATCTATCAACCATTAAAGGGTGATCCTAGATCATATTGCCAACAGCCAATGTCCTTAATCCTGCTGTGTGGCGCGACCGTCCTGCAGGTTCCTTGGGGAGACCACAACGTGCTACCTCTATACAGAGGGATCCCTCGCAGTTTGAGGTGGGCGAGGCATCTGTAAGACCTCAAAGAAGACATAGGATGTGGCGTCAGTCTGGTCACAATGCTCGACGTTGCCAGCAACTCCCGCACCTCCCGCTCCTTCTGCAACTTCCGCACCTCCCGCATCTCTCTGATACTGAAGAAGATAGTTAGACAATAGCTCAAATCAGGTTCATTGCAAAAATGCTTTTCTGCTGCAACGAGTTAAAAAATGGTTTCTGGAGGCGGCAAATCATTTTTTGTGATAATATTGAATGGTTCCAGCCAATCACAGGCCTTAAAAGCGAGCCTATGCGCTCTATATAGACGGGGTGGGTATCAGTTAGCCAAAGGTGAGTTCTGGTTAGCGGCTCCAAATAATTACTGTAAAAAAAATCTGTTCTAAAATAAGGCCTTGTTTTCCGTGGTTTTAACGCTAATATTTAGTAAATCATTGTTTACAGGGACTTTTGACCTAACGTCCCTAATTCCAAGCAGTCGCTACGTCTTTTGGCGGCCAAGCGTCGTCAGGACATATCCGGGACCTCGTTGCCAAGTCACGTCAATGCCTTCAAATAACCACGACACTTGTTCTTCCTCTTTTCCGCAAACCAAACGATCCGCTCGAGTGCCACTCACTCATCTGGGCAATTCTTGATGTGTAAGCAGCGTCGATGTAAATCCTTTCGATCGTCGTGCATGTCGACTGTCACCCTCATCGACCGATCAAGTTGAACCAGAAACACGGCCACGCCTCAAATCCGGACACTTTCCAACTAGGACCAACGCAGCCACTGCATCATCATCCCTCGATCCGTCTCACAACAAGATCGCTCTCCTCCTCCTCCTCCTTCGTCTCCCTTCACTCTCTTCTCTCTCTCTCATGCCGCCCCTCTCCCTCCCGACCGTCCTCTCGGTCTTGACCCTTGTCTGCGTGAGTAGCTCCCCCGTCCCCCCTCCCTCCTCCCTTCACACCCCTTCCACCATCCCACGCGCGTGCGCAGACGCGCTTTCCGTCCAGCGCTTCCCCTTCTGCAACTCGTCCCTCTCGACTCGTGCGCGGGTCAACGACCTCGTCCATCGTCTGTCCCTCCCCGAGAAGGTGACGCTCCTCACTGCTCGTAGCAGCCCCCGAGGCAACGTGAGCGCCCTCGGTCTCCCCGAGTACAACTGGGGAGCCAACTGCGTCCACGGCGTCCAATCCACGTGCGGCTCCAACTGCCCCACGTCGTTCCCGAACCCCGTGAACCTCGGCGCGATCTTCGACCCGCACGTCGTGTTCGCCATGGCACAAGTCGTGGCCTGGGAGCTCCGCGCGCTGTGGCTCGAAGGCGCGCGGGAGAACTACGCCAAGGGGCCGCACCTGGGGCTCGACTCCTGGTCGCCCAACCTCAACCTCAACCGCGACCCGCGCTGGGGCCGCAACATGGAGACGCCGTCCGAAGACCCGCTCGTGAATAGCAACTACGGCGTCGCGTACACAAAGGGGCTGCAGGAAGGCAAAGACAAGCGCTTCTTGCAAGCCGTCACGACGCTCAAGCACTTTGTCGCGTACTCGTTCGAGAACTCGGAAGGGATCGACCGAAGCGCGTTCAACGCCGTCGTGTCCCGCTACGACTTTGCCGACTCGTACTTGCCGGCGTTCCGAGCGTCCGTCGTCCAGGGGAAGGCCAAGGGCGTCATGTGCTCGTACAATAGCGTCAATGGCGTGCCCATGTGCGCGAACGAGGAGCTCAACACCAAGCTCTTGCGTCGCGCGCTGGGCTTTGATGGCTACATCACGAGCGACTCCGGCGCTATTGGAGGGATCTTTCACGAGAGACATTACACCACGTCGCTGTGTGAAGCAGTGCGGCTCGCGATCGTATCGGGAACGGACATCAGTAGCGGGACCGAGTATGAAAAGTGTCTGGCTGAGCTTGTAACGAGCGGACGTTTGTCCGAGGAGGTGGTGGACGACGCGTTGCGGAGGACGCTGCGGCTCCGATTTGAGCTCGGGCTCTTTGATCCCATCGAGGACCAGCCGTACTGGCACGTGCGACCGAGCGAGGTGAACACGGCGGCGTCCAAGCAACTGAGTCTCGACCTCACGCGCAAGTCGCTGGTGCTTCTGCAGAACCACGGCAATGTCTTGCCGCTGACCAAGGGCAAGAAGCTGGCGGTGATTGGACCACACGCGATGGCGAAGCGGGCTCTGCTGGGCAATTACTTGGGCCAAATGTGTCACGGCGACTACTTGGAGGTCGGGTGTGTGCAGACAATGCTGGAAGCGATCGGGGCTGCTAACGGTCTCTCAAACACAGTCTATGCCAGAGGATGCGGTATCAACGACACTTCGACTACAGACTTTGATAACGCGGAAGCAGTTGCACGAGAAGCAGATGCCGTCGTTCTGTGTCTCGGACTTGACACGTCCATTGAGCGCGAGGGGGGAGATCGTGAGAATATTGATTTGCCTGATATCCAGATGCAGCTTCTGAAGCGAGTTCGATGTGCCGGCAGGCCAACGGTTGTAGTGCTCTTAAACGGGGGCATAGTGGGCGCTGAAGAGCTCATCTTACATACTGATAGCGTCCTGGAAGCGTTTTATCCTGGATTCTTTGGTGCCCAGGCTGTGAGCGACGTACTGTTTGGCGATGCCGTCCCAAGTGGCAAGCTGCCTGTCACGATGTACTCGTCTGATTACATTCACAAGGTGGACATGAAAAGCATGAGCATGACGAAATACCCTGGTCGCTCGTACCGCTACTACAAAGAGGTACCCGTGTTCCCTTTTGGATGGGGTCTGAGCTACACTAAATTCACGTTGGCTCCCGACTCCGACAGTCATGCGACAGACCCAGATACACCTCTCATTGTAACGCGTGAGTTGGGTGCGAACGTCACTGTCATCGTATCGAACGACGGCAGTTTCGCTGGCGATGAAGTCGTGTTTGCGTTCTTCCGCCCCTTGAACGTAAGTCTGACGGGGAACGCTGCGCTGCTGAATGAGCAGTTGTTTGACTACCGTCGCGTAAGCTTGCGCCCTGCGGAGGACAGTAAGGTCACTTTCCGTATCCAGCAGAGGACGTTAGCGATGGTGGACGACATAGGCAACCATGTCATCCACCCCGGTTTCTACGAAGTCATCCTAACGAACGGGGTGCATGAGCGGGTGACGTTTGTCGCTCACGTGTTCGGTGAGTATGACATTATAAACAAGCTTCTGACGGATCAGGAACACGCACGATATGGATCGCCCGCTCGACCAGCACTAACGATGGAGTCGTAGGCTTCAACATCATCGCGCAAACGCACACACCCGAGCCACCCAGGTGGAAAGAAGCTACAGGCAGTCGATTGTTTTCCGTACTCGGATACAAGCTCCGCGTGGTGGATAGGAAATTATTTTATTGCTGCCGCCGAATCGGTTCAGCTGGGAGAAACACCCGTCTTCTGGTTGCGCGTACGAGACAAAAGTACTTCTTTAACATAAGAGTTTATGCACTCAGGACTGTCGTGACGGGATGACCGACAACCATGAGAAAGGCACACATGCAGATGAAGTCGTAATTGTGTTGCTGTGGCCGTCTTTGATCTTCGTCAAAATCCGTCAAATCTCTGTTTCATATTTGCTTTTTGGCTTAGTAGTCAGCTTCTTGGTCCTAACACCGATGTACGGACTCGAATGAAGAATTCTTAGTCAGCGAACTGCCAACTTTATGATATTTTATTTTCGGTATTGGAATACCGACGATGTCGACATGATCGAGCTACAACTCGTATGATAGTTTGCAAGCTTAAAAAAGAAGGGAAAAAGAAAATGAACCTTATTATACGGAGGATAAATAAGTGCCTCCAGATTATTAACAACATATTTTTATCGACAAATAATTCAGATAAATACCAAGTAAAATTGAAAAATAAAAAAACCAAGGCGTTTACTTGACGTATAGTGTGATAGAAGCTAGCAACAACGGTAGCTCCAAGCCAAGTATTAATCGATTGTGATTGTCAAACGGTAAACAAGTACATTAGAACGAAAAACCCGTTTGCTAATGAAAAGGCAGATCACAGCAGTATTAGAACAGACAGGCAAGTTCATGTGATGACATCCTCATAGATACATCTTGTCTTAGTGCCATGTTGGACGCCGTCGCCCGAAGCAGCTAGCTAGACGATGCCTTTTTTGCTTGATCATATAAGCTGGTGCGTAAATATCACATGTGTAGAGCGATGCGAACTAGATATCTAATTATACAGTGTTCAAAGCACGTTAATTACTCAGCCGCAAAAGGCTCTGAGACTTTACGAATGGGAATGACAACCGGAAACAGATCAGTCTAAGTCTGGTAGTTCATTTGGTTCTAATACACAAATACAGAATGTCGATAAAAATCTGTACAGCATGCTGATAAATAGTATTCCACGCTCCTCAATTTTTAATTTTAAATAAGCGTTGATCGAGCTAAGTAGTAGTGTCATAAACGCACTATTCAATTTGTTACATGTCTGAAAAGTCGATTGCCAGCTTGGGTCATTGAATTGCAAAAATAGCGGCTATATTATATTAGTCATGTATACATGTAATGGGTCCATAAAGCAGCTAAGTGATTATGCGCAGAATTATGATGTGTGGCTCGGACAAAGCAACTTTGCACTGTCAGAACGAAGATCATCGATTAGTTGCATGATGCGAACGGCTCAGTGTTTTTTCTACCGTGTGGCTACCACTCCCATTATTTTAATACTTTGGAAGCGTTAATTTGAGTAATTACTTTGTAGACGCCAGGCGTATTTGTACATTGCTTTGTCGCAAACCTATGGAAAGACCCACGATGTAACGGGGTCACAACGCACTAATCGAAAGCAATTAATGTCTCTATTGAAGCAGTGGGTGTGACCCTTTGACGCTGAAATAGGCAGTATCTTACCTTATCGGATGTGATTTTATAGCTGATACAATAGTTATAAGTACGCTGTACTTTGATGACTAAACGTGCTTCCTAAATATGTCGTTTTGCTTCAAAAAATGGGATAAAGCGAAAAATTAACTTCGGGAGGACGACAAATGACTTTTTTATCGGGAAAACTGCGTCACGACACAGTTGACAGAATCCCAGAGACGTCATGACACCCAAAACGAAGGTCAAATTGCCGTTCCAGCCAGATCACAAGCTTACTTACGCGGTCGAGGTAGTGAGAACAACCAGTCACAGGTCCATCACCTGCTGCTGAGTCTTCTGTAAGCATATCGGCCGGGGCAGGGTCAAGGTCATGCCCACCAAAAATCACAAGCGCAAATCGCGCAGTACCGTCAACTGTTTTACGGCGCCACTTGCCGTAGCGTAGTACAAAATTCACCATTTGGACCAGCACCATGAGAACTAAATCGAGTGCCAGGAGGCCTAAAAAACGACAAGAAAACATCTTTGACGGCCACCTTAAGGCCAGCAGTATAATACATCGCTACATAGACCTGGCCAGCAAGAAGATGTTGGGCAAGATCAAGGCCGATATCGTTGACAAGATCACAGAGGAGAATTGTAATGGGGTAGCCCGTAACGTAATATTGACATCGGACGGTGTCAATAGGGAGATTGTCTAACGTGACAATTCCCTACCAATGTTACCCGAATAGGATAACATCGAAGGAATATGATCCCCTTTTAGGTGATATTCATGCGGTGCTCAAAGATTATTTGATAAAAGACACATAAACCAAGGTTTATACCAAATGCTGCTAAAAGCGCGTAATGAGTGGTGAGGAGGTTGTCGTCATAAGACGACTTTGTTCAAAAATAGTTAGATATAGACTGAATGTAAAGGGGTAGCCCGTAAAGTGATATTGACACCAAACGGTGTCAATAGGAATATTGTCTAGCATGACAAAATTTACCAATATCATCCGAGATGGATAATATCGGAGATATATTATCCTCTTTTAGATAATACTTATTCGCTGCTCCAAGATTGGTTGATGTAAGACATATCAACCATAATTGCCACCAATCGCTGCTAGACGCGCGCAATGAGTAGTGAGCAGGTTGTCGTCATACGACGGTGTAATTTAATATGATAGATAAAGATTAAAGTTAAATTGATAGCTTAACTATATTGATTGCAGTTCTCTTTTTATACTTACTTAAACGATCTGTTTAAAAAAGTTAGCTTCCTCTGCACGTACTAGTGTACGTGAAGTTTTGCGGCACCCCGAGCAAAGGGTGCCCCGTTCCACCTGATAGCCCTTTGTAGTCCGTCCAACGACTACTTAGTGTCCGTCCAACATGAACATGTTGGACGCAGAAGACGACAACTTATGCGTCACACGTGAAGGCTACTCCCATCTGAGTGACTCAGAATGGGAGGTAGTCGGCATTATGAGTGCGCTCATGGGAGAACCCACAATCAGTGGTATGTTGGAGTCTCCAATCAAAGAGCAGCAACATGCTGCTATCAACATGTTCCTACAAGGGGAACTTGCCGTCGAACGACAGAAGATAGCCTTGCTACATAAGCAAGGCTCTCATCAGTCGATGGGCTGGCCGACGCACACGCGTCGAACCGAAACCTTGAAGAATGATATCTCAAGGTACAAGGGAACCGATAAAGATTCCCTATTGAGATGGTTCGTCGAGTTAGACAATGCCATCAGGGCCCGTCACATCGAGGGTGATGAGATGCAAGTCACCATCGCCCTGTCAAATTTGACAGGACGAGCAAAGACTTGGGCCTTAGGGCCTAAGCTTTACGACCCAAACGTATTTGAGTCGTTAAAGATCTTGAAGTCTCGGTTCAAGAGACGTTTGAGCCGTCGAGAGCCGAGTCCAGAGCGCACTCTACACTCTTGAGGCTCACGCAAAACAACAAGATATGCATGCTTACGCACAGCACCTATGCTACCTTGTGAGTAGCGTCACAGAAAACTCTGTTGATGAGCACACGCTCATCAACCTGTTTATCTACGGCCTTGTAGATGGGCCGTTGAAGACGTACATGTTTCGAGAGGACTTCCGTACGCTGGAAAGATCGATAGCGTATGCGGAACAAGAAGACTTCAGCATGAGACAGTCTCAGGCTAACTCGTCCAACTATCGTCCGACGAGACGACAGAAAACAGGAGGTCCCAAACCAATTGGCATCTGTTACATTAAGAGCGAGAACTCTCGCTCTCTGAGTCACAAGCGAACGGCAAGATGCTATCGCTGTCAGAAGATTGGGCACTACGCTCATGAGTGTAGTGTCCCGAGCACTGCATCACGTCCAAAGACAGGACTTGATGACCGCTGTTGGCCAAGGAAAGGTCCAAGGCGTGGGTCCGACGATGTCGCTAAGTCGCGACAGCAATTCGGACCATAAAAAAAACGGTCCGGGTCAGTAGAGCACCCTGCTGATCCAGTAACGTCAAAGAATTTGCAGGACTCTTGGCGAAGATTGCTCCCAACACGCAGTCTCTGTGTGTCACTGCCCCTAGTATTGAGGAGTCCCCCACCACTCGGAAGACCGAAGTGACAAGTGGAATGTCACTTCGCGCCCTAGATGATTGGGGCGTTGAACGGTTTTATTTGACGCCAGTCTCTAGTGGATAGTAGGCTCAACTATGTTGAGCGAGAATTACCTCCAACTAGGATGACGGTTTGCCTTGCTATAGGCGCATCCGTAGCAGGGAACAAACGTGTAGTGGGAATCCACTACACGCTAGAAGGAAAGCAGTACGATGATGACTTCACCGTACTGAATTTGGATGACAAATTCGATGTCATCCTCGGTCTGCCATGGCTTAGAAAATACCAGCCATGGATCAGCTGGCAGCATCGATCTGTGTAGATGCCTGCCGTTTGTTCATCGGATGGCCATCTGATGAACGTCTTGGAGTGTCCACAAGCGTGTGGATGTACTACGAGTGAGTGCGATGGCCTCACTTGTGGTACGATCGTTAGTACGACTGCACAAAATCACATTGTAGAAGGCCACTGCACTGTGTAACCAGCTTCTGGCACCTGTGTAGTGACACAGGATGCACCGAAGGTTCACAACCCGAAGAGATCGAGTGGACTAGAACACGGATGCACACCAAGAAGGGTGCACCGGATAATAGAGATGAGTGTTGTTCAGGATGAACAACAGTTTTAGCGATATCGACTATCAGAAAGTCGATCGTAGAGCAAGCCCGATAGACAGAAAGAGAGTCGATCGAAGAGAACCTGACTGTGGTAGTAAACCCACAGTCAGCGCACGTATTGGAGTTAAAATTCTAGCTTTCCTGAGAGTGATAACTGCCGAGAGAGTTACGTTGAAAGTGTAGATCCCCAACCACCTGCGGATGTGTTTTCCTAGGAAATAACCGAGCCAGTCAATGTCTTGGTGAAGGACGGATCGAGTGTAGGCGCTTATACACTTGATATGGTTATACTGCCGAAGTCAGCTTTGGAGGTAGTCAAGTTGTCAATGCTAAATTCTGTAAGATTCTTGCGGGATCTGCGTATTGACAAGATCAAGCAGATCTGCGTACTCGTCACAGACGACGGGTACGTCGCCGATATTCGGTCGGCACAAGTGTTTACTGAGAACGAACGGGTTCTCAGTAGATCATCAATGGATGAGGATGTCCTGGATGAGAAGACTTAGATTGAGCGATACACGTCTCAATCTTAGGATTCTTTGCAGACAAATCCTTTGTATAAGGATTTGATTAAATTCAGGAATGTTTTCCTGGAATCCGTGCCATGCGAGCTGCCCAAGGACAAAGGCACTCGGCATGAGATCGAACTGAAATACTGCTCGAAGTACTGTGTCATGAAGCAGTGGCCACTGCCTCGTGACCAGGTCACAGTGATCGACAAATTCTTTGCTGATCGCTTAGCGGCTAATCATGTGAGTGATTTAACATCCCCACACAGCTCTCCGACCTTTTGTGTTCGAAAGGCCACAGGAGGGTGGCGGATAGTACGTTATCTTAGCAAGTTGAACGCTGCAACTTGTACAGGCTCACACTTCAATACCGAGGTCATTTACAGTAAAGTAACATATTTCGTCCGAGGTCATTCACGATTTTAGAAAAGTAACATCCTTTTGTCCGTAGATCGGATGGATAAGACCTATCGGATCCTTAGGCGTGAACGTAAATCCCGTACACAGCAGTGAGAACCCTCAGTGGTATGCTGTGGGAGTGGCAAGGAATGCCACATGAGCTAAATTACGTTCCTGCAACGTTGAACAGATTTGTTACCAATCTGTTACGATCGGTCCGAGACTTCTTACCAAGTAACTTTGAAGATGTTCTTGTCCATAGCCGGGCTATGGATGGAAAGACGGACGTGGAGGATCATATTATCCGCGTCCAGAAGGTTCTTACTGTAATGCGTGAGCTTAAGTTGGGTGCGGAACTTAAGAAGTGTGTCTTTGCTGCGAAAGAAATTCCGCTTCTTGGATGCATCGTAGGTAAACACGGCTTATTGTCTGATCCAGATAAGATCAAGCGGTTAGCAACCGGACTATGCCAGTCGATGTCATGGGACTTCGAAAGTTCATTTGCTTGGCGGCGAATTTGCACAAATACTCGCGCAACTATGCCGAGATGACTGTACATCTCTGTCGTCTGTTTATATGGAAAGAGAGGTGGTTACGTAGTGGTGAGTGTCAGCACTCCTACAAAGATATCAATAAATGCTTGATATAATAAACTATGTTGGCGATTGCAATCCACGACAGACCATATCATGTGGTCTGTGACGGCAGCAATCTTGCAATCGGCTGCGCGTTATTGCAATACGACTCGGACGGCGTTGAGCGCGTCATCTGTTATCAATAGCGCCAGCTGCAAGCAGCTGAGCGTTATCACCCGGTTCATGACAAGGAACGCCTTGCCATGAAATATACACTAGCCAAGTTTTGGGTCTACATCATTTAAATAGACAGTGCGTCATTATGCATGGCCGTAAACAGTCCACACTTTTGAAAAAAACGGCGAGTTGGCTGTATTTTTTCGCGGAATACAACTTCTCCGTCGAGTATAAACCAGGACGACTTAATGTAGTTGCTAATACTCTTTCGTGTCGGCCCATTTCGAGCCGACCGCTCAACCCAACAGTAGGGGTGATCCCACTGTCGCGACGCTAACAGTGAGTGTTCCGTCATCGAATCTTCTCGACGACGTGCAAAAAGCATACGTAGAAGATAAGTCTCTTCTGCGGTTGATGGATTACGTCTCCAATCCGTGCAGTGAAGCTTTGAAAAGCTTGTCGTCTCAATACCGCTCTTCAACCGAACGGTATTCGGTTCGTGATGGACTGCTGTACTCTACAGCTGTCAACGGCGACACGCCTCGTGTCGTCGTTCCGGCTCATAATGATTTGCAATTGCGCATCAATTATGAGTGCCACGATGCTCCATAAAGTAGGCATCGTGGTGGAGAAAAGACTTACTTCATGGTGAGTCGTGACTTCTACTGGCCTTGCTAATATGTGTTCGTGTGCAAGTACATCTGTACTTACGATGTTTGCCAACGGGTGAAGCCTAGTCCTTCATCCCGTGCATCCTTTCAGCCTCTACCGATTTCGGCCGAGTGCTGGCAGTCCGCATCGATGGAATTCGTCTTTGGGTTTCTCATAGATGAACACAAGAAATCTGGTATTCTTGTGTTTGTTTACCGGTTCAGCAAGATGGTACATCTTGTTGCTGTACTGGATTCGATCACAGACCAGGACTGTGCTCATGTCTTCATTGATACTATCTTCCGACTTCACGGGTTACCCCGTGAACTCGTTTCTGACAGTGACTTCCGCTTGACAGCGTAATTCTGGCAGTCCGTGTTCCGTTCACTTGTAACACGGTTGGATATTTCGACATCTGGCCGTTCTGAAATGGATGTTAAGGCGGAACGCATGAATCGCGTCCTCGGAGAGATATATTCGAGGGTACGTTCACTCGTTTGGAGCTGGAGTGAATTCTTGCCGATTGCGGAATTAGCCATGAACAACTTATTGCATGCGTCGACAACGCATACACTGTTCTTCATGAATGGCCTACACCATCCACGTTTACCCTCTTTCTTAAAGTGTGACCCTAGTTTAAGGGGGGGGTCGCTCGAGCACAAAGCTGTTCTGGTTCTTGCTTATCACACGGCGACAATGATGTTGACATGATGGATGCCGATCTCGAGCAAATTGACATCGACATCGACAATGATGATGAAGAAGAGCTACTGTATTCAGCATCGCCAATGACTGCTACAGTGAGGACGATGACGACCTTACGATAAAGACAAGTTTTGTTTAGCAGTGCGCACAACGCGCACTACTGTCAACAATAACCAGGCAGAAGTCGAATTTCTGCGGACTTAAAAAAAGGTGTCCAATTCTTTTTAATAATTTATTGCAGACGCAATAGATAAACAGAAACAAACGTAAGATAAATGATAGAACAAAAATTCTTTCATTTTATAAGGTAGACATAGATTCACATTCCACAGTAATTCTACTAAAACACGCAGTGATAAACGTGGGCAGCAGTAAATTACTGCCCAGCACGTCGGTCCATTTCATGTGTTGCGCCGAATGGGCAACGCATACACGATTGAACTTCCCCGTAAGATGCGTACGCATTCAACGTTTCACGTTATCGGTCTCCGCCCGTAAGATCAGTACGAGCCCGTTCGAGATGCGAAGTACACCTCCGCGGTCGAGAGTTGAGACCACCCTCGAGTGGTACCGATTCAACGAGCCAGTCTGGTCAACTAACGAAGCGACCTGCTCACGCAGTTTAGCGATATACTGAAGAGCTGCAGTCAGCTCGTCACAAGAGAATGAATCGAACGTTAGTTCTCAAGTTGCGCGAACGCAAAAGTGGCACGATCATCCGAAAGATCGTGCGTTAGGAAATTGTAATTATGTCTTACAAGATCCTGAAGCTCATAACGCCGAGTCCGTTCATGAGTCAGGTCGTCTTGTAACTTATCCGTTACACGGTTTAGCTCTTGAACATCAAGCTGATCCGACCCTCGAGCCGGATCGGGTGTTCCCGCCACCACCACATCCTTTGGTGGACTCAAGCGCTGTTCAACGCTTCCTAGTGGAGCGTATTTTTGAACCACCGCGATATGAATGGCGTCCGGAAGAGTTACACCTTCCGCTGGCGTTGCTATCCACCGGCGTGGGACAGCTGGGGGCCTCGTGCCCAGCTGATTGTTGACTTCCTTGGTCTTTTCAAGCAGAAAAATGAGACACACCAGCTGCTTTCGATGAAGGGCCGTCGGAAAACGACCCCAAAGATCGTGAGTAAAGAAATTGCAAGGTATCAATCCCTTCGGCCATCTCGGAAGAGATGCGTGCCCTCCAGTAGGGATCATTAGGGAGGAAGGCCTCCCTAGGGGCACAATTCGAGTTGTCCAGGCACTCTGTACATCTACCGCCCCACGAGATACAGAGTAATCTTGCCTCTCCTGACAGTCGCTGTAACTTTTATTGTACACCAACTGGATTACGCTTCTCAAATCTGATGCGAGCTGCATCAAGGTTACCGAGACAGACCTTACGGCCAATGCACTCAATGTTGTGACTGAAGGCATTTCATCTCTGCACCAAGGCCTTACCGTCGCGGCCACGGTTGCCATTGCGCCACCTATGTCTAAAAAACACATCGGTAAAGAATTCTTCCTCAGCACGAATAGTCTTTGTGCTGTAATTAGGAGGACAAATCCTCCTACAGTTGAAGCACGAGATTCTATCTCATCGGTGGTGTTACCGGCCATTCGGTCTAACTCCTTGGATGATGGCATCAAACAAGACTCCACTTGAGGAGCATGACGCATAACATTGCGGTCCCTGGCCTTTTGCGTGGTGTTAGCATGAGCAACGACTCCAGTAGCAGCTCGATACCTCGAGTTGCTTCTCTCGTGGCAACACAAAGAGGCTTCACCACCATCACCATGCGTCCTAGTGTCAGATAGACTTGTGTAATACGAGTATTCTGCAGACGAATCGCTCGGTACGAAGATCTCGGACATGATAGCGCCAAATTTCCCAGAGCTAGTCAACCTGGCTTTGGCAGTGTCCGCCCCGGGTGACCCGGAGGCAGGAGGCACCGCCCTCGAATTGGATGCATCATCCGACTTTCTAGAATAGATGATCTCTATTTCGAGCTTATTCACATATCTAGTCGTAGCACCCGCTGCAGACGCAGCGAATGCATTTGTTGCACGTTGTGACTCACCACGTGGTATAGTTGAAATAGGCTTATTCTGTTGTTTACTTGCAACAGCAGGCGGATGATCACCTGCTGCTGAGGCTTGAAAAGTACTCTTTTCGGGCGCACGCATACGTAAAACCGCCTTCATGACTGCTTCGGCAGCGCACCGCATCGACTTTGACACCACGCGATGAAATTGGCATATGAGTTGATTTCGATCAAAAATGCTCTATTTTCCAGAGTGATTTCCGGAGTGAATTAACGGTGATCACTATTTCTCTAATCAAATTGATTAAATAACCGGGGGGTGGCGTAACGGGGTAGCCCAGTAAATGATATTGACACCAAACGGTGTCAAAAAAAAAGGATTTTCTAGCGTGACAATCTTTCTGCCAATATTACCTGAGATAGGCAATGTTGAAGGAATATTATCTCTTAGAATATATTCACGTACTGCTTGAAGATTGGTTGATAAAAGACATGTCCACCAAGATTATCACTAATCACTGCGAGCCGTGCACCGTGGGTCGTGAGCAGGTTGTCGTCATAAGACGACATTGTTTAATATATTTAGCTACAGACTGAAGTTGTATTGATAGCTTGACAACATTTAATACAGTTCTCTTTTCACCTTTACTCAAACGAGTAGTTTGAGTAGACTTATCTTCCTCTGCACGTACGAGTGTACGTGAATTTGGGCACACAAACAAAGGGTGCGCCGTTACATGCACAGTCAACAAGGTGTTCAAGATGAACAGCCAACAAGCGCACAAGCACGTTGGTACCCAGTCGCACGCTCTCCTCGGCGAGGGGGTGTCGGAAAGCGTTATTTCGTACCGAGCCGGGTACTAGTTGAACACTGGTGAAGTCCTGTAGATAATGTTAAATTAGTCAATATAAGAGGATAGTTCTAGGATTTTCGATGCGTAGGGAAACGAGTTGCAGTGGCAGAGGCCGCTGCCCCCCTAAGAGGTCTGACTTTGCACTCGGTAAGCCACTGAGGAGGCCCGCTGCGGCGAGCCGAATCGCGTCTGGCACGCGTTCTAAAGTTAAACCTTTTCTGTAATGTGATCTTAGTTTTCTACAACCGCACCACCCCACATCCACTCGTAGTACTGGTGGCGGTGACATGTCCAATGTCAGGCTCGTCAACTTCTGTTACGATCGAAATGAATGGGGACGCGAGCAGGATCGTGCTTGCCGTCGATTATTAGTTGCGTACTCGGAGCTTCACTTCGCACAGGATACGGTGTTATGTACCGCTCTCTGTATCTGCCATCTTTTAAATCGACAGTAAATCACGACTCAAAAATATCTGATTGAATGTAATTGTGTAGTTGGAGATAGAGTTGGACACAGGTGGTCTATCAGTTGGAGATGTTTAACGCGTCCCTCCCATCCCACTCAAAAGGCTACAATTTTATTCCACTCGGTGGCGGGCGGTCGCTTGACATCTCATCATTGTGCGATCCCTCGCTGTAACCATGATCGAAAAAGAGCTGCAGAGCGGCATGTGATCAACTCGTAATGGTACAATGCACATCCTTCGAACACACAACATGCTTCATACCTCTGTTTGTGGCTGCATATCGTGAAGTGCATACAAACCAATCCGGAAATCGCTTCCCACGTTCATGATCTTGCACACGCAGTTCGGGCTCGCTGAAGAATGATTGACCAACTAGACACCAAACAGACATACAACGCGACATCAAAATAAAACTCCAAACAATTCGCTTAGCAAGACTGATGCAACACACTCGGGCCTTGTTTCCCTTTCGCGTCGAGTCGACCACAATTTTGGTATCAAGTTCGATCAGATACCTGGAAAAGAAGGTCCAAACGGTCAGGAACCAAGCAAACAAATCGACTGACAAACGGAACCAGTATCCTACCTGGAGCCATCTTTGCCGTAGACGACGCGACGCTGATCAGCTTCTTCCTGTGATACCATCTCACCAATGAACTCGATGATAAATTCGTCCTCAGCGACAAACTCGTCTACGAACAGCCCCCACTCAGCAACGCCGAGCTTTGACCGGCCCATTCGCACCAGCTTCTGTTCACCGAGTGCAATGCTGCGGTTGCGGCATCTTGTCTCGCACGTGTCGTCCTTCTGCGCCTTGCCTAAGCTGACGTCATACGGCTCACCCTTTTCCCGGGCAGCAATCTCGTCTGCAGAGCACACCTTACAGAAGTCGATATCGCACTCGCGACCAGCACGGAAGCAGGGACACGTCTCCGTACGGCAACGACCATGCTGGCACCGACACCCTGAAAAGAAGATCTTGCACTCGTCATGGATGCAATGGCAATGCTTTGAGCAAGATATGCCACTGTTGACGCAGGAGCAAACGCTCTTCTGACACGGACCAAGATGGGAGCATGGCTCGATTCTGTGTATACGACAGGCAAAGCACTCACGTCGTTCAACATAGTACGCTAGCTGAACAACCACGATATGCGTACTTCATTCGGACGGTGTCCCCGACGCCGTTTTGAGAGTCTGTGATGGCAGTACCAAACGCACAGAATGAGGTGGATAGAACAGCACATCAACAGCGTTATGTGCAGCTCAACGTAAGTCCGACAGTCGTCATCTCTTAGACGTCAACAGGAGCTTAGAGGGTGCGATACGTTTAATATATGTTCCATCCATGTGGCCGCATCGCTTTGATCTTAGAGCACTGCAGCGTATCTGGGACGACAAAATACATGCAATCCTTGTGAATATACGGACGTACTTTGTGCATGAACGACTAACTTCCGCATTCTTTTCGCCTTCCGCGAGCATCGACTTTTTGACGAAGAACGAGCCTGCCAGGTAGCGAGACATCAGTAGACCGTCTACACAGATGCACGAGATCACGGTCCACCTCACCTGTACATCTTTCGGCAAAGTGCTGCCATTGATGTTGTCGTTAGCACACATTTCAGCGACTTCGATGCAAGTCGTGTTGCCAACCATCTTCGCCATTTGGCAAAAGTTGCCTGAGTATATCATGTAAGCGCGTGCACAAAGAACGCTTGTACGTTCACTCCGCGCGAAACCGGTAGAGCGAACTTGGGCCTTGACAAATTCATTGCAGCTTGAAACACTCACTTGGCCAAGAAAACATCCATTCCCACAGTTCCGGCCTGTGTTAATCATCACCCCCTTCTCCTTCACATTCAGTGCGACGGCGTTTTGCTCCAAGATACTCTATCGACCACGTCAGATACATCAGATTGATCATGCACCAACGTCAAAGGTTAAATGCATCGCACCAGGTTGGGTTGCTTCATGCATCCATGATAATCACAGTCGTACACAAAGCACCGACGACAAAAAAGACCTGCATACACATCCGACAGTGATGTTACGAACGTGAGCTATCTACAGCAAGCTTTGCAGTCGGAAGGAGGCGGAGCGCGTACTCCGGTACGAATCGGCTGCTTTCTCGTACAGCTGAAAGTATTCCTTCATCGAGATGGTCCGATCAGCGCGATCGAACGCGTCATCCTTTGCCTGGGCCGCAGATGTCCTTCTGCTCCGTTTACCGGACGCAACCGGTGTTTCCATTCGGCGTCGTTTCTTTACTGCGCTCCGTGTCGAGCACAGATTTGTGTAGACTTCAACCAGCACCTACTCCCCACAATCAAGACAGCGTCAATACACACAGATTTACATTTACGCACTTCGTGCGTTCCGAAACAAGCTACAAGCTGCTACTAACCTCTTCTTCCACCATGATGACACTTGCGACGCGCGTGAGGTCGCTCGGGGTAAGGTCCCACGTCGATCGAAGTGTCCTTAGTACATATTCACACATTTCCATCGTAAACTCCACCTCGCATGCACTTGATCTTTGCTGCCTGATGACAATCAACGCCACAACAGTGAGAAAAACGCACCAACAGTCAGACACGTGGTCACCAGAATTCTTCAACAGCAGCACCGTGGTCATCTCTCACTTGAATTGATCGAGCTCCGACACAACGTCGCTGGTACCGTTGTCACCAACGCAGGGCAGACATCTGCGCGTAGGTTCGTCCTCCACGCCGTAGTTCTTGGCCAGAGCCGTCCACATGGTAGCAGTTGGAACAGGTGGTACAATGGGCAGAATTACAACGCGCTTGATGACGGATTGGCTTGGAGTTGTCAGCTGGATCTGCACCGTGCGCTTGACTTGGCATCCACAATATCTCAGCAACTCGGACGCTTTTTGTACCGCGGCCAAGTAGATGAATTCATGAACACAGCACAAATGGAACATAGTAACAGACCACCACAATTGACACACCAAGACAATCAGGATTCGAATAGAAACACGGTCGAGCACGCCTTTCCACGAGTCACTGCTTCCTCACTCCGCACTCGAAAGCCCTGACACTGGTCGTGAAGAACCTCAATCTCTTTCCGAATTCGCGATCGTGCCATCATATCCAGAGAGCTCTTGAGTCGATTGCGAGCGATTTCCGTCTACCGTCATGGTCGATCCGAATCAAATTATCATCATTATATAAAAAGCAAAAATGAGCACACGACAAAGCAACCATCACAAACGACAGACGAAGCATCAACAAGTCTAGAGCGTGTATGCCACTTAATTCCGTACGCTGGCCACAATGTGAAACGTGCGGATGAAGTGATTGAGCGCCTCGACGGCCTGCGCACAGAGCTGCTCCTTCATTCCCGTCTTCAACGACTCGTCCACGAGGTGAGGCATCTTATTAGCCAATCAGGTGAGCTCTAGCAAGGAAAAAAGCAGCTGTCGAGGCAACAAGACAAGGTGCTGACAAAATGTGCCCATTCTGCAGTCGACTAGCGTCAAAACCTGCACAAATTAATAATTTGTGCGTCCATTTTGGGTCAAATGGCCACCCAGCAGCCAATTGACCAATCGTTTCACTCCGTTGCGTCCGTCGCTTCCTCCATGGCCATCAGAGCGTCGGCGGCGTTTGCCACGCGGTCCGAGCGCGCGCTGGTGCTGAGCGTCGTACGCGAAGACTTTGGCGACCTGGCGGGACGAGTGGCGGAGACGCTGCTGCGCGCCGAGGGACTGCGGCTCTCTGAGGTCGCTGCCAAACTGCAGCGTCCGACGACGTCCCACGCGCCGCCGTCTTCAGTGCACCACGTCCGTCTCTGTCTGTCTTTTGTCGAGTGAACCTACTAAACAGCATAACTGATGGACGGTCTGTTGTGCGTGACAGATCACAGGTGCTCTACTCAAGTTGCTGCAGCACAATTTACTGGACGTGACACCCGTGGCTGGTCGAAGCGATGGCGTCCAGATTGTGACGTACAAGGTGCGCTGTTGTCCGTCCAAGGACGACGTTATCGCTCGTCGTCCCGTTTTTGTTGTGTTTGTTTGTGTACTTGCACTCTTTATTCCACCACGTACTGAGACAATGGCGGTGCATTGGACGCTCTTGTTGGCAGTAGGTGAACGTGCAGGAAGCTCTGTACCGTCTGCGGTTCCCCAAGTTTATCCAGCAAGCGAACGAATCGTTTGGAGTAGCTGGTCAAGTGATCATGGAGGAAGTTCTGCTGCAAGGCCGTGTGCGCATGGACCAGTCGCTCGAGACGATGGCGTACAACTTGGCGGATCAGCGACGTCTCGATCGGAAAAAAGGACATGCGCAGGAGGGCGGGGACCAGTCTTGTCGAATGATAGAGAGTGAAGCAGAAGAAGAGGAAGAAGTGAGTGAACACGAGCTAGACGAGTGCCGAGACCAGGTGCGAGAGGTGTTTGTCGAGATGGCTAAGAAGCGCTACATTTCGAGAGTGCACCCGCTGGAAGTGAAGGTGGTGGATCCGAAAGAGGCCCCGGACTTTCCGGCGAGTATAACGCGTGGACAGGAGAAGAGCAGAGCGACCAATGCAAACATTGATGGAACCACTGCTACGACTGATGCCGACAAGAAACGAGGTACTGCTGTGGATGAGGACGGTTTGACCGTGCGAAAAAAGAAGCGAAAGGTTCCGTCACAACAGTCTGGAAATGCCATCCCGGTAGAGCTGCAAATGATGCTGGACGCCGACGAGGCAGCTCGAAACGAAAAAGACGACTTGGAAGCTGAGTGGGAGCCGAGTCCTGCGTCGACTGGTCGTGCGTCCAAGCGCAAGAAAAGCGCAAAGCGCGCGAAGTTACCTACGCGGGGTTCATTGTCGAAGAATGCGACTGCCGGGGGTGAGACAAGCGGTGAAGACGTGTCCGAAGGATCTGGAGCCCACACAGACGAGCAGTCGTTGGTATGGCGTTTCGGAGTCACGCAGTTGCTGCGTGACTTGCGCCACAAGGCATGCATTAGGTTTGCTACAGAGAATGTGAACGCTGTAGCTGGCGCTGTCGTTGCCGCCATGCTTCAGCACTCGTCCCCACACGAACGTGAGAAGGACGAGCCGACTTCATTTCCGGTGTCGGCACGCGAACTATTTGAAAAGGAGAGTGTAAAGAAAGCGCTTCCTGCTGAGGCTAACAACCCGTGGCGACTGCTACTGAACTACATGATGGTCATGTGCCGGGACAAGTCGGGCATGGTGATGAAGGTGGCGCATGAGGTATTTGACTCGACTCAGGCTCGTGCCGGTGATGGCGGTCGATATGTAGTACACATGCAAAAGATCGTAGAGTTCTTACAACACGCCACGACTCACGCGTACATCCAGGAAAAGTACGGCGTTGCCAGCGCCCGCATCGTGCGCTTGCTTTTGGAGAAGCGTCAATTGGAACAAAAGACCATCGGTGAGCTGGCGCTGCTGCCGTCTAATGATGTGCGGCACCGCTTGTATGAGCTGTATACCGACAAGCTGCTGATACTGCAGGAAATTTCGAAGCGTGCAGACCACAACCCAGCCTTTACGTTTTATTGCTGGTCCGTGGATGTGCCGAAGATGCAGGCGCGTATTGCGGATCGCGTGCAGGATTCGTTGTGTCGTCTCCGTCGTCGACGTAAGTTTGAAGCGGAAGAGAACAAAGAGCTTATTGCGCGGTCGGAACAGCTGGTTGAAGCCAACGATCTGGACAAGTTTGACAGGCTCAGCCGTTCATTAGACCGCCTTGATCGGGCCGTGATTCACTTGGATGGTATGCTCATGCTGTACCGCGACTTTAAGTGTACCTGGAATGAGATGCGCGTACCAAGGTGAGGTGACACAAAGCAACGACAGATGTGAGTCGGCCACGATACGTTTTGCTTCCGTCGATTATCGTGTAGAATACTGCTGCTTTTTTGTTGTTGCTGGGGTATCACGCAGGCAACTTCGTGCCTTGTCAAAACAGCTCCAGGGCTACCAACACTGCTACGTTACCCGGTGTATGGGTATGATGGTCACGTTAGCACAGTAAGGGTCGTGTTTCATTCAAGAGTAAAGACGAGCGTACAACACACGCTTTTTGCAACGACATTTGACACCGGGCGAGGTCACAAAAGTTGTGATGTTTCTTCACAGCTAGTGCGTCGGCATCTGCCGGTGATAAACCTTCTGCGTTGAGCTACTGGAATGAGACGTCCATCATCCTCGTGTCGATTTTAGAATTGTTGCGAAGCGTAAAATGTGTGCGAAACGAATGCGAAGCGAAAGTGCGAGCAAGCTTGAGCACCTTTATAGCACCCGAAGAAAATGCCTTACCATCGCATTTCACCCCATTCAACAAGTTCCTCGCACTTACGTCCGACTCAGTTCGTGTGCGCCTTGAAAAAAAGTCTCTTCCGACCGTCGGATTGCTTTGATAAACATACAATCACGCGCTCGAAGCTGAATTGTGATGAGCCAGCCTCAATTTAGGTGCTTGTCAAGCTTATAACGGCTAGGCTCAAGCAAAAAGGTATGACAAAATATTTCTTATGGCATACACCCCATTCACCACACCCATGCACAACCACAATACGGTTTGTCAGACATAGATCGCGCCACCGTACGTCTTGAGTCTGTACGACTCAAATCGCAAAACAGTTGTCATTTGTCGTACGCATACTAAGTAATTTACCGAGCAAACCTAATTTAGTATGCAATGGAAGACTCAAAGCTTTTTGCATTCGTAAATGACTTGGCCGACAACCACGGCGCACTCGTCACTAAATGTCGGATACATCTGAGTTGCTATTGTATCTTCCGAAATGGTTCAGCCAGGTTTCAGTCGAGAAATGTACACAAATGAATGTAACACAGGTTCACTATACGTAATCGAAGACATCCCTGCAACGTAAATTTCCTGTTGGGGCAATAAATTCTATCATATACGTATTTGCATTTGTGATCGCGCCTATCCTGCGTTGCTTTGAAAACAGGCCATTCACTGCCTGCCAAAGGAAGATGATTGGTAAAATCACTTACATTTGTACGGAAAATCCCGATTGTTTTGCGATGTGGTCGTACAGAGGTATCGTGGCGCGATAGATGTCGCGCGAACCATATTGTGGTGCGTTCAAGAGTGGAAAAACCCGATTTTTTGCGATATCATCGGTGTTTTGGATTAACCTAACAAACCCGATTTTCCGACAAGGTCTTTTTGGTTTATTAATCACTTTCACTGGGGTCGCTTTCTTCATCCAACGAATAGTACTCCGCGACCTGCATGTACAGAATGCGCTCACGTTGTTTTTATGAAGACGAGCTTTTCAACCAATGCCACGCTGAGTGTATTACAACGCTTAAAATGGATGAAAGCCATTTGGTAAAGTTGCGTTTCCATGCAGCGCTGGATGTTGCCATCGAGAACAGCTTGACCGTTTCGGGCTGCGAAGTTGGCAATTAATTATTAGACAATATCCGTCAGCCATCAATGCAGTGACGCCTTCGCCTTTTTCGTCAGCATCGAAAATCAGAATGACTTCGTAGCCTTCTTTTGCCGCGCCGAGATAATTAATCCACTCAATTCAGTGTGAAAGGGCATCCTTCTATTGTAGTCAATAGTCGTGGTGTCATTAATGTGTTTGCTACAAAGTATGTCTTCGAGCTCACAAAAATTAAGTGGCGGCAAACCTTTTTCGAGAAAGGTTCGATGAAATAGGACAGATCGTGCGCTTCGCCACACATGAAATAAAAGCGGGAAGCCGCAATACTCGTTAAAAACTGCAGCTACAGCTGAGTATATTCATCTCGTTCATAGAAAGCAGGCAACTTGTCCGAAAGGGCAACAAAGACAGCAATTTTTCAAAAAAAATTGGGACACCTCAATACTAATTATTATCAGTTTGCGCGTCGAAAGTGTGGTAAAGCGGATCGAAACATTCGGGAGAGATCGTAAAATGGAGTGATCATAAACTGCGACAAATACTGAGAAGGATCGATCGGCTGTTGAGCTGCGCAAATACGAGACCAAATATCGCAATATCAAGATCAAATACCACGATATGAAGATCGAATATCGCTATAGCGCGATCAAATATCATAGCAACGGGATTGAGTATCAAGTTGCTTAGATCAAGTCAAGATGTTTAGATCGGGAGCGCGTAAGGTGTTTATAGTCAGAATTGTAATCGACTGATCGGAAGGTATTACGGTCCTAGAGAGTTTTCGAAGATCACCCGAGGACATCGAAGATCAATCAAGGAGATCGAAGATCACCCGAGGGGATTGACGGTCACTCCTGCAGATCGATGATATTTCTGGAGTAGACCACGCATGCGAAGGAACGTATAACGGAATTTAGAAGATTAGTGGCAGCACATCCTGGCTATTAGGCAGGCATGTTTGTAGCTTTAACTATTCACTGGTTGACTATAAACAAAAATCTATTTACTTTTAAGTACGCGCGTCGAATTCTCTTCCAGGCTGTAATGTTGACCTCCCGACGTCAAGAAAGCCGCGCATACTGAAACATAGTGAAATTTCCACATAATCGGCTAAAGATCAAGGATATTCAAGACAACTTAACTGCGATTGTACGCAGCTAGGACGTAAAGGACAAGGCGCAAGATCTCGGGGGGGGGTGGCTTAATTAGTCAGAAGACTCACGTACCAGGCATCCACAAAGTGGATGAGGAAATCTCGTTGAGATCTATATGGCTTACATCAAGTATCCTGCATTTATACCCGTGATCATGCAAAGGTTTCCACGCGATCACAAGCTCCATTTTCAACTCGTGATGTTTTGTTTTGACACGGGTCCACCAAGAAGAGCGCAGTATCCCTACAGACGGGTAAAAAAGGTGAGAAACGAAATTAAATGCACTGAATTGAAGTACTATCTCCGATTGTTGCTCGTATGGGCACCGGTGGAGAGTCGGGATCGCCTCATAAAATGAGCGGTCGCCACTTCACCACAGTGGGCTCGATAATGGCAGTGGAATTGTTCAGCTTCAAGACGAAGTCATCACCGGTGGCGATGTCCTTGATCTTCTGTCACTTAGACTTCTAAGAAGCTATACCGACGAAAAACTTGCGAGCGCTAACGATTCTTTGAATCAGGCGCTTCGATGCAAGCACCGACGCACACATGGCTTAAGCGGTCTTTCAACGAGTGGGCGCGGGTCGAACAAGGAAATATCAGGCCTTATCCTCTGTGCTTCCTGCAGGCGTGCCTTCACGACATGCTCATTGTAAGAAACTATTATAGGTCCTCGCACGCGGATACAATGATGAACATGTCCACAAAAGCGAATCCTACAGGATACGTCCCCTCATTTTCGTATTTTTTTATTTGCGAAGCGGAGAACACGTTCTTCACAAAAAATGCAGTCCATGAGAACAACAGCTCATGAAGCACCATGATGGGATCGTGTAACGGGGCACCCTGAAGCTTGTACTGGTGACAGTACAAGCTACTTATTCTGATGACAGAATAAGGCGGTGCCTCGGAACTTCACGTACACTCGTACGTGCAGAGGAAGACGGTAAGAAGAAGCGAGTACTTGGTTAAAGTAAAAAGTAGAACTGTATTTATCATAGTTAATGTCTGCAATAGATATTTCATTTACACATTTTTATTTAGACATAGTTAGATGAAGATAAATAGTGATGTCTGCAATAAATCACTATTTATCTTCATCTAACTATGTCTGAATACAAATGTGTAAATGAAATATCTGCTCACCACTCATTGCGTGCGTCTGTCGTGGCGCGTCTTCGTTGGTTGATATAATGGCCTATATCAACCAATTAGGAACTACTTGTAAGTGCTACAGAATATTTGTCCTTATGACAATATTCTGAGAATATAACTCTTATAGTTATATTCTATTGACAATTTCTTATAAATTGTTATGTGACGATTCACCCCGTTACATCACCCCCCCTTAAGCATCAGTCACATTAGTGACTGATTGACTAAATGGATACTCGTCCCAAATCATTTGGGACAGAATTTGCACTTGTTGGTCCTAGTCCACTTTCCAACAATTCATCGCATGGTTAACAAGCCCATGCGATGCGCGAACAAGACCGCAGAGAGCGCGTCTGCACGTCTCTGTGCGGACGCCGAAGCAGAAACAACAGCAACTGATGTCTCATCGGTTGCTGAAGCGATCCAGCCTGTGTCACATAGTGATGCAGGCGCTGGTCATGAAGACACTCGTGTCTTCACAGAGTACGAGCTCGGTGTCTCGTACTCTCCTGATACGGAAGACGGATCCGTATCGACGGCGATTGAATCCAAGCCGCCTGCCAAGCGTGGCATGGACGATGCTTTGCGTCGCAGCATCTTTGGTTCATCTGATCCATCAGATGAACCATCGCCGAAGCGAAGGCGCTCGAGGTCGCGAGACTCGGGCGCTAACAGTGGTGTCGGTTCTCCTATGGACACCACTTCGCAACGAGGTGCCAGTCCTTCCGTCGGCACGTCGCAGGAAAAGCGGGACCATAGTGTGTTGCGACTCGCTCCCGAGAAGGAGGCATGGATGCCTCCCAAATCCGTCATGGATCACTTGTCGGCGACGACGAGTGATCGTCATCGAACACGATTGTTCGATTCGTCAAGGATCCATCACCTTGACCCCAGCGCGAAAAACTATCGCGCTGAACATGAATTCTTCATCGATGCTTTCTTCAGACATCGATGGTACAGTGATCACAAGAGTGATGGTCCCTCACTGCTTTAGGCGTGGAACGCCTAAATCCATAACCTTGAGGATGTAGGTCGTGACGCTTGGAACGACAAACTTATCAAAGCTCGTGATAAGTTTGAAAAGCGAACCCCGACAGGTGCACGCTACAAGCTGCATCGTCTGTCTATGGAGAGTGGGTTACCCTGCCTCTCTTGGGTAGACTCGTGCCCATGTTGTGTGAACAACTCTGTACGAGCACCTAAGGAGGCTTACCTCCTTACTAGCCCGTGGTGGCGCGTACGTATCTCTACTTAGATGTACGAAGGGATTGACAACCTGAAATCCCTTTACGACCGTGCCGGGAAGACTTTCTCCGGTGGTCCTTCTGCGGCACAGGATGTGCCGCGTCGTTCTGCTCAACCAGACCCAGTACGTCAACCATCAGTTGGGAGCGGGGCTCCCAAGTATCCCAGGACGGGGGATAGCCGCGCCATCGGACGAGATAACTCGTCCGACGTCCGTTCACGTCGCGGTGGTTCAACAGCTGCTCAACTAGATAGCGCTGGCCAACGCGAGAGTCCTCTAATGGAGGTGGAGGAGGAGGAAAGACGCTCTCCACACGATCATGTGGATCGGTGTGTTTTCGAGAGCTTCTTTGATCGCGTAACGCAAGGGTTACGCGGCGATCTCGAACATGAGCGGGACAGGCGTCTTCAACTGGCGGACGCTGTCTCGAAGCATCGAGCTGAGTTTGCCTTTGCTCAGCTTAAGAACGAGAGAGCTCTGACATCTCTTCGTGACGAGCTAAGGGTAGCTCGTGGGATTGTTAATCGGTCTCGAGATGAGATAAATGCTCTTCAGACCCTTGTCGATGCCCATCATCGGGAGCACAAGGCTCTCTGCGAGATGCTTGAGCGCAAGGGCGTTCTTCATCGGAAGAAGCAGCGTACTGATGGTACGGCTTAAGCCGACCAACGTAAAACGTGGGATGCGTTCGCATCTTACGTGGCAGTTCGATCGTGTACGCATTGTCTAGGCGGTGCAATACACGAAATGGGCCGATGTACTTGGGTAGTAGTTTACTGCTACCCAAGTTAGTCACTACATGTTTTGGTAGATTAACCGTAGACAGTAGGACTAAGTCACCTTCATTAAATAAAAGAGTGTTTGCCCTTCCATTCTTGTCAGCGTTTTGCTTTTGCTTATCCACCGCTTCGGCGATGGAATCTTGCACAAACCGGACTACCGTTCACGAGCCAGTATGGACTCATCTGATGACTCGTTAGCTTCAGTGCGCTGTGAGTGCACTGCAGCAACATCAACCTTTTCTCCAGTGAGGTCTTCCGCGCTCTCACTGGCATCATCTTCTTCGAAATCGATGTTATCGATATCGGCACCAAACACAATGACCTCTTCGTCAGAGCGTGATGAGCGTGAACCAAATCGGTTTCTGCTCGCGCGAGTCCCTCCCCCCCTTAAACCAGAGTTACACTGAATTAAGGTGGGTTCACGCGGATGGAATAAGCCATTCACGTAAAACGGTTTATGTGTCGTGGACGCATGCACCGAGTTGTTAATGGCAAACTCTACCATTGGCAAAAACTCACTCCAACTCTTAAAGGAGTGTACGTATCCTCGAAGTATCTCTTCAAGGACACGATTGGCACGTTCCGTCTGACCATCTGACTCTGGATGATCAGATGTAGACATCTTCAAGCGCGTTCCGAGTGATTTGAACACGGAGCGCCAGAAATCAGCAGTGAATCGTGGATCTCTTTCTGATACGGGTTCACGGGGCAACCTATGAAGTCGGAAGATGGTGTCAATAAAGACACAAGCACAGCCACTTGCTGTGATTGACTCGAGTACAGCCACAAGTTGTTCCCTTTGCTTAATCTGTCAACAAATACGAGAATACCCGTATTCCCGCGTGCGTCTTTGGGTAACCCGAAGACGAAATCCATTGAGATGGATTCCCAGCACTCAACCGGAACCGGTAGAGGATGTAAAGGTGCACGCAGTGAAGGACTTGACTTCACTCGTTGACAGACTTCGCATGCGCGAACATACTTTCGCACAAACTGATACTGTCGGGGCTAGTAAAAGTCTCGACTCACCGTGAGATGTGTTTTCTCCCGGCCACGATGTCCTCCTATAGGAACATCGTGATACTCTAACATGATCCGCAAACGCAGATCAGTATCATCTGGAATGACAACACGTGTTGTGTCACCAGTAACGGCTGTATAATACAGTAAACCGTTGCGAGTAGTGTATCGATCTGATGCAGATCGATACGCAGACGACAATCGTTTCAACGATTCTCGAGATGGCTGTGAGAGATGTGTCAACAACTTCACAATCTCACCATCTTGGTCGTATGCCCGCCTCACATCATCATACAACGTTGTAGATGGGACTGAGGACGTCATAACCGCAGCAGTGACTGTCTCACTGTTGGTTTTAACGACTGGTTCAAAGTCGGGACGACGTGAGAGTGCATCAGCGACGACATTAAGTCGTCCTGGTTTGTACTCGACCGTAAAGCTGTATTCCGCAAAGAATGACAACCACCGCGCCATTCGTTGTGAAAGGTGCGGGCTGTTCACTGCCGTGCGTAATGACGCATGGTCAATGTAAACAATGAAGGGTCTATATCCTAATAGATAGACTCTGAACTTTCGCGAGTGCATGCTTCATGGCAAGGAGTTCCTTGTCATGCACTGGATAGTTCCGCTCAGCTGGTGGCAGCTGACACGACTGATAGCAAACGACGCGTTCAACGCCTTCAGATCGTACTGCAGTAATGCACAGCCGATTGCGAAAATGCTGGCATCACAGACCACATGAAATGGCCTGTCCTGATCGGCAATTGCTAAGACTGGGGATTGTATCAAGCTCTGCTTGATACCATCAAAGGAGCGCTGACATTCAGCGTTCCATAACCACCTCTCGTTAGTCATCTCGGCGTAATTGCGTGAATACTTATGCAAATACGCCGCTAGCCCAAGGAATTTTCGAAGACCTTTGACATCAACCGGCACAGGCCAGTCGATGATCGCCTTGATCTTTTCGGGATCAGGACGTACACCGTTCTTACCAACGATGCACCCAAGAAGTGGTATTTCGCTTGCTGCAAATATACACATCTTGAGATTTGCATACAATTTATGCTTTCGCATGATTGTAAGAACTTGTCGGACGTGGTACCTGTGAAGCTCAACGTCCGACTTTCCATCCATAGCCCGACTATGGATGAATACGTCATCGAAATATCTCGGCGCGAATTCTCGTACTGGTCTCAACAGATGTGATACACATCTGTTGAACGTGGCAGGGGCATTACTAAGCCCTTGTGGCATTACTAGCCATTCCCAGAGCATGCCGCTAGGCGTGCTAACTGCGGTATAGGGTATATCCCGTTCTCGCATAAGGACTTGATAGAAGCCATCCATCAAATCCATGGACAAAAAGATGGTACTCTTTGACATACCATCAATGATTACGTCCTTCCTCGGTATCGGCGTCTGAGCCGGTACCGTTGCAGCATCCAACTTGTTAAAATGCATGCACTATCAGCCACCCTCCTGTTTCTTTTCGCACACAGAAGGTCGGAGGGCTATGTTTGGGAAGTTGATTACCTTACATGGCCCGCAACTAAACGATCGGCAAAGAACTTGTCGATCGCAAGTACTTGCTCACGAGGCAGTGGCCACTGCTTCATGACACAGTACTTCAAGCCTGGTTTAAGCTCGACCTCGTGTCGAATACCTTTATCCTTCGGTAATTCGCACGGAACAGTTTCAGGGAATACATCCTTGAATTCAACCAAATCTTCATAGAGAGATTTGTCTTGAGCGATTCCCACGATTGGGAGTCATATCGCTCAATTCGTGTCTTTTCATCCAGGACACTCTCGTCCATAGATGAACTACTGAGAACTCTCTCGTTATCAGTGAACACTGTTGCTGACCTTATGTCGGCTACACACTCGTCGTCAGCGACGAGTACGCAGATCTGCTTGACTTTGCCACTACGCAGATCACGCAAGAACCTTTTATGTTCGAGCGTTGGCAACTGAGTCATCTCCGAAATCAACTTCGGAGGCGCAATCAGATCAAGTGTATAAGCGCCTACACTTGATCCGTTATTGACTATGACATTCAATGTCTCTGTCATTTCCTGGGGACTTATTCCCTCAGGCCTCGACGGACTTATTCCTTCGGCTTCCCGGGGACTTATTCCCGCGGGTTTCGGGGAACATATTTCCGCCGTATATGTTATATCGGGACTTATTCCCTTTACTTCCTCTAGCTGGGGTCGCGCAACCACAGCGAGATCCTCTACGAAAGACTCTCCAGTCGATCTAGGATTATCGTTTCGCTTAACCTGAGCAATCGATTGTTTCTCTTCTAGATGTTCCCCGCTAGGGATACATCTTTGTCCTGGTCCAATCGACTTATTCGAGTGGTTAACCTTCGGCGCAGCCTTTGTTTCCTCACAGCCGCCGGAATCTTGCTCCAAAGTGTAACTGTTTGTTACACTAAGGTTTTGTGCAGTCGTACTAACGACCGTACCACAAGTGAGGCCATCGCACTCACTCGTAGTACATCCACACGCTTGTGGAACCTCCAAAACGTTCATCAGATGGCCATCTGATGAACAAGCGGCAGGCATCGTTACTGTTCGATGTTGCCAATTTACCCGTGGTTCGTACCTTCTGAGCCACGGTATTCCAAGGATGACATCAAATTTGTCATCCAAATCCAACACGATAAAGTCATCGTCATATTGGGTATCTTCTATCGCAAAGTGGATCTTCACTATACGCTTCAAGACGGTTACGGATGCGCCTGTCGCAAGACGTACCGTCATCCTCGTAGGAGGTGTGTCACATTCACTGAACTTAAAGTGACCATCTTCTAGCGATTGGCGTCGCACAAAATTGTTGGACGCCCCACAATCGACTAGGGCTCGAAGGGACAACTTATTCGTCACTTCGAGTTTCAAGGTAATGAGTGAGATCTCATTACCTAGAGCAGCAACGCACAACGTTTGTGTGTTGGGAGCAACCTTCATCAAGAGGCCTACAAATTCTCTTGACGTTGCTGGACCAGTAGGGTGCTCCGCACCTACTGATCCTGTCCGTTTTTTTGACGGTCCATCCCGTTGTTGCGTCTTTGCACCAACAGCGGACCCTCGTCCCTGCCCCTTTCTCATGAATGGACGGTCACTACGCCCAGTGTCGCGAGACACTGGACGAGGGGCACTACACTCGTAAGCGTAGTGTCCTGTCTTTTGACATCTGTTGCATTTCTGCAACTTCTTGTAGTCTGTAGAGCGAGTCTTCTCGCTCTCTACATAACAGAGTTCCATCGGCTCTGGACCTCCGTTGTCATATCGTCAACCGAGACGATATGATGTCGAGCTGGCGCGAGCCTGTCTCAGACTGAAGTCTTCCTGCTCCGCAATGGAAATGGCTTGTTCTAGTGAATCTAGTTCAAGCCGGAACAGGTGAGTCTTGACGGGACCATCCGCAAGACCCTGCATGAACACCGAAACCAACGTGTGTTCATCCACCGGATTGGAACTTATACAACTCGTGAGATGTCGTATATGTTGAGCGTAAGCGTGCACATCACGCTTACCCTGCTTGAGCTTCAAGAGTTCAGTTCGAGCTCTGAACTCAGCTCTAGGCGGTTCAAACGTTTGTCTGAGCCGCGACTTGATGACTTCCAACGACCCAAACGCATATGGGTCGTGCAACTTGAGCCCCAGTGCCCAAGTCTTGGCACGTCCTGCCAGATTTTACTGGGGAAATGCAACTTGCATTTCTCCATCGTCGATGCGACGCGCCCTTATGGCGTCATCCAATTCGACGAACCATCTCAAGAGGGAGTCCTCTTCGACTCCCCTACACTTGGAGATGTCAATCTTTAAGGTTTCGGGTCGACGCGAGTGCATCGACCCACCAGCAGCAGCCTGCTGCTGTCTCAACAGTTCAAACTGTTGAGCACCCTGTTCTCTCAACAACTCTGCTTGTTGAGAACCTTGTTGGTGAAGTAAGGCTACTTTCTCGCGTTCAGCGTCAAGTTCATTTTGAATGAACTTGGCGATAGTAGCATGTTAGGCATCTCTATTGAGAGCCTCTAGCATGACGCTAACAGCATGGATGTCCATGGTTGAACCCATCTGTTCAACCGCATCCCATTCGACATCGCTCAAATGGGAGTAGCCGTCACGCGTAGCGTGAAAGCTTTGGTCATCTTCATCATCCAACATATTCATGTTAGATGTGAACGTGGTCCTTGGACGGACTACAAAGTGCTACCAGGTGTAACGGGGCACCCTGAAGCTTGTACTGGTGACAGTACAAGCTACATATTCTGAAGACAGAATAAGGCGGTGCCTCGTAACTTCACGTACACTCGTAAGTGCAGAGGAAGACGGTAAGAAGAAGCGAGTACTTGGTTAAAGTAAAAAGTAGAACTGTATTTATCATAGTTAATGTCTGCAATAGATATTTCATTTACACATTTTTATTTAGACATAGTTAGATGAAGATAAATAGTGATGTCTGCAATAAATCACTATTTATCTTCATCTAACTATGTCTGAATACAAATGTGTAAATGAAATATCTGCTCACCACTCATTGCGTGCGTCTGTCGTGGCGCGTCTTCGTTGGTTGATATAATGGCCTATATCAACCAATTAGGAACTACTTGTAAGTGCTACAGAATATTTGTCTTTATGACAATATTCTGAGAATATAACTCTTATAGTTATATTCTATTCACAATTTCTTATAAATTGTTATGTAACGGTTTACCCCGTTACATGCGCGATGTCCTGCACGATCCTTTTGGCGCTGTGACCTCGCTGTATGGTAGTTGCTGATATAATGATAAAGCAGACTTATGGAGAAGTGGCAAAGTAGTTCGGGTCGTTCTTTATGTTCGACCAGCTATAAGTTATCAGACATAAAATAGCGCCTTTTATGAGAATTTCGACGTTTGCCTTCAACTAATCGGAACACTTGTTTAACAATTCATCAGTGAGCTTTTTATAATATTAGGGATAACGTTTTCGCTGGGTTGTAAGCACGCGAATGGCTTCTTGGAGATGAGCATTCTCAACGCGCTGAAATGACGAATCTGTGGCGTAGTAGTGCATGTCGATACGGAGCTAGAACTTCTCTTTCTTTGACTGGATGGAGAAATCAAAAAAAAACTCCTTGATGGACTGCCGACTATAAGAGTACGCGGAGATTGACATGGCCTTTACAACGTTGCGCCGCATGAACGCCGGTTTTAGTTGGACACGAACCAAATCGGGCGCTTCAAAACAACGTGACGAAACCCGGAGCACTTGTTCAAATGGGTAGTCGCAGACTCACTCTTTTTCTGATGACTGATACGATGTCGGCAGTGTCGGACACCGCTCCCTTTAGATTCTGCGGCTGCTTAATATCCTTAAAGTTTACCTCGTACCATGTTCTGACTTCCTGACCGGCCCGAGTGCTTCATCCACGACTGGGGCCTCCGCCTCAACGACCGAATTTTCATCCACTATCTCACCTAGCCTAGATAAACACGCGCCATCATCGCTTAAGTCGGACATGATGCGAGTCATACTTGCGAGTGCGAGACTATCTTAAGAGAACTGCACCACGGACCGTGCAACGGGTTAGAACGAAAAAAATCGATTTTTTAGGAGAATCCTCAACTTATCGGGGTTTTTGAATAAGCCCAAAAGAACGATGCAAAAAAACGGTGTTGTTAGCCCTGGGTGTGGTAAGGGTTTGGTGCATGATGTGCAAATAGTGTAAGGTGGGGTGTTTTAAACAATACCCTAAAAATGTGCATTGAATTTCTTGGATTATTGCCCGAACATAAATGTCCTGGATGACAAAACATCCACATCAAATCTCGTTTGCTGTATGGGTCCATGTGGTAAAGAGATCATGCTGTTCGTGTTATGTGGCTGTGTAAGATGTTCTTCGTAGTCTATCGAAAGCTACAACGGTAAATGAATACTACGCGAAGTTAAAGAGACAATCTGCCCACCTTTATCGAAAGCAAACACCCTCCACTGGTTGCATTATTACAGATCCAGCAACAATTACTCAGCTAATCCCGCAAAGCCCCTACATAAGCTCACTGCACAGTTACAAAGAGTATGATTAGACACAATAAGTCACTCCCACTACAGGTACAATAATCACCAGCAAAACGTACTAAGCAGGGCCACCTCCGCCCTCGGGAACTGTCCACTTGATGTACTCCTTCGGCATCTTTATCGAACAGCACTTGCAGTGGACGCAGTTTTGAGCGTTAATCACGAGTTGCGGGACTCCGTCGGCCTCGCTACCATCGGTGTATTCGTAGACGCCGGCAGGGCAAAAGCGCTGCTCCGGTCCAGCATACACAGGAAACGACTCTGTCGAAGGCACCTCGGCAAGTTCCGGCTTGATGCGCAAGTGTGATGGCTGGTCGTGATTATGGTTGGTGCCGCTGCGCTGCAGGTTCGAAAGTAAGTTAAACGTCAGCTCACCGTCCGGTTTTGGGTAGCTAATGGGCGTGAAGTCCTTGGCCGGGCGTGTTTTATCCGAGTCTGCGATAGTGTTCGGGATAGTCCAAGGTTCCTTTCCTCTCAGAACGTGCGTAGCCACTCCGGCGTAAAGTAGACCAGGCAGGAAACCCTTGTGAAAACCAGCGTGCACATTGCGAACAGCCTTCAGCTCCTCAGCAATCCATGATGACTCAACCGCACCCTCGTAGCTCGATATGTCGAGTGCAGGCTCTTCCGGATTAATCTCGGCCGTTTCAGCCACAGGTTCCACGCCAGTGGCAATCAAAGCTTCATGTGCAGCCTCAGCAGCGAGCATACCTGACTTCATAGCAGTATGCGTACCCTTGATCTTCACACCGTTAAGGAATCCAGCCGAGCACCCAATCAACCCACCGCCAGGGAATGTCAGCTTCGGAATCGCGTGGTAGCCGCCTTCATTCAAGCAGCGAGCACCATACTGCACGCACTCGCCTCCTTCCAGATACTTTTGAATTGCAGGATGCGTCTTGAACCGCTGAAATTCCTCGTACGGATTAATGTAAGGGTTCTCGTAATCCAAACCCACAACCAGCCCAATCTGGACAAGATCGTCTTCCATATGATACATAAAAGAACCACCAAACGTCTTATCCATCAGTGACTGCTGCAAAGGCCATCCCAGCGTGTGCTGCACAAGCCCCGGTTGGTGCTTTTCCTTTGGAACACGCCACACTTCTTTCACACCAAGACCGTACGTCTGAGGCTGAACGCCGTCACGCAAATTAAACCTCTCCATCACTTCCTCACTGCACGATCCGCGACAGCCTTCAGCAAAGAGCGTCTATGCCACACAAAGAACACATTCCTCACCAATCAAACAAAGTGCAAGTCGCCAGCCCTCAGCAGGCAGAAAATAATACAACAAAAAGACGCACCACACGCGCACGCAGCTCCATGCCACGAGCGAACGTGCTTTTGGGTTTCCCGTCCTTTCCAACCCCCACGTCGCGCGTCGCAATCCCAGCCACCGCTCCGTCTTCGCGGTACAGCACCTCCGAGGCCGAGAAACCGGGATAAATCTCCACCCCAAGCTCCTCTGCCTGCTCGCCCAACCAGCGCGCAAACTTGCTCAGACTCATCACGTAATTGCCGTCGTTATGCTGCAAAACATCCATGCAAGAAGCAACCACACGCACACACACACAAATCAAATCAACCTGACACCGCCGTACCCAGCATGACCCTAACCACGACTCACAACCCCTAACCTCTTCTGGTGGCAGCAAAAAGTGCGGCAGCGCCATCGACTTAGTCTCAGTCAGAAACAGAAACTGGTCCTTTGTCACGGGCGTGTCGAGCGGAGCGCTCCGCTCCTTCCAGTCTGGCAGGAGCTCGTTCAGCGCGCGTGGCTCGAGCACGTTGCCCGACACCATGTGCGAACCCACTTCCGCGCCCTTCTCGACCACGCACACCGACAGGTCCGTGCCCTTCTCGGCCGACAGCTGCTTCATGCGGATCGCAGCGGCAAGACCCGCGGGACCCGCGCCCACCTATGTACGTACATAACTAGGGTTAGGTTTCCACGTTCACAAGGTCCATGTCCGTGCGCAATGATCCTATGAAGCGACCATCACTCTGCAAGCGACTATACGTACCAGTACGACGTCGTAGTCCATCGCCTCGCGCGGTCCATTCAGCAGCTCCTTCTCCTCTTCTGTGAACGTCGTGGACGACAGCCAGCAGCGCTGCGAGCGTGCGATCAATGGCTGGCGCTGGCGCGTTGGCAACTGCAACAGGGATCGGCGCCACATTGGATGCGGACAGTGTCTCCTTTTGTTTGTTCCTTTTCCAAAGTGCAACCACGCGGTTTCTTTTTGCGGACTGTCGAGGTCACGTCGACATTTCAAACACGACGCACGCGTTTTAGCCAATGACGCGCTCCGACGATTTTGTGATACAAATAGAGCCACAAAGTGGTCGCTAAGTTTGTGTAGCTGTAGAATGTGTGGATTTCGCAAGTAAATAGGATACGTTCCTCGCAAGAATAAGGTCTTATTCAGGTCTCATAATTACGTAGGATCGCTACAATTCGCTGTCGACGTCTACAATTTAAATCTGTGGTGATCCACAGAATCAGGAAAGCCGACGAGGACTGTGTGCAAACAATCGACGGAAGGCCGGAAGGCTCGCAACAGATTCCAGACGCTCCTAGCCGATTGGCGAACTTGTAATACGACCAATGCCCATCTCGATCGTATATTGGAGATCCCACGCCCTTTCAGTCTGCTCATGCATTGCAGTTTGGACTCGAGGTCAAGAATGAGGATGCCAAAGGAAGCGCGACCTATTGTCGCCTGTTCTGCGTGCACGAGGGTCGCAACGAGGTAGAGCTCGGCCCGAACAACCGCAAGCGCAAGACGACTGGCATCATTAAGATGTTCACCGCACCATTCTACCCGCACAGATATCGCAGCTATATAGAGTCTCAGCACGCCGACTTGTGGACGCTCTTCAAGGATATGCAAAGCGCCAAAAAAGCGCTGAACTTTGCGAACAAAATCAAGTCGTCCAGTACGCTGCATCGTCGGATGGCGCTTAATAGATTAAACGATGGCTTGCGACATCAGCGCTCGCATCATCGAAGCCATTATTAGCGATATTTTCTTTTGCGACGACTATAGTGAAGACGGTGTGGTCAACACGACCGCCAAATTGACTAACCAGGAGACCAACCCTTTAAGGTTGTTCAACAAGAAGGAGGACGATTCTGATTGGTGTCAGGTCACCATCAAGAACGTCACGCGGTTCATTTAATGGCGACAAAACTTTTCGGTCAGCTTGTCACTCATGCGTACCGCGGCAGCTAACTCGCCGGGTATCACATTGAGGCGGCAAAATCGACTGAAATGAACGACGTGATAGTCGTCCAGTACGTCCACGTCTTGTTCGGCGCCTCTCTACTAGACATCTTGACAGAATGGACGACATGTCAGTGCGGGTAGTTTTGCTTGCCTTTGACTCAAGCATGCACCGTCACCAGTTGTTCTTCGACATCTGCGTACGTTATGGTTCGAATGCCGGTTTTGCAGTATTTATTTGGTCGGTGTCCTAATGTTTAACGCTGCACAGCGACGATTATCATCAACCTACTCACCAACTTTCTGAACGCGCTCTACCTAGACTGGCGCGTTTAGCTGCTGATCTTTCGTCGAAATACGATCGCACTGTGAATAGGGCAACGCGCTGGTCTCGTTACTCGCATCCCAAATTGCGCGAAATTTAGCGTGGTGCGTGTGTAGTGCGCGCCGCATCAGGAATGACACCGTCGTCAAGTCGGCGGCTGAAAGCATCATCGATTGCGCCTATAAAAGAGAATTCACACTTTTTACGTGCATTTAAGGCCTTAGAACATCTCGATACTCAGGTTAGGCGTCAGGTTTCCAAATACGACAAACCAGTGGTTGCACCACGGTCGCGTGTTTATTTCTACAAAAAGGCATAACCGGGCGGTCATTGCGAACATCAACGAGAAGCACCCCGAAAATTGGTCAGCGGACGAGTGGTGGCTCGTGATTTACGTGGTGGCGCCTGCAGTCGATGAGATCAACTTCACCTTTACCAAGCCGCAGAGTCGGTGGCTGTAATTTTGCACAACAGAGGAGTTCTTTATGCAAAAAGTGGCACTTTTATCACCACGTTCTGCGTCGATTCCGTTCATCCGGACGAGCGTGACAGTGATGGCGAGTTTGAGCATACATTTGTAGCCTCTATGCATAATACCTTCGCCTGAAAGGAAGGCCAGAAAAGCGACAAAGGAACTGCTACTAGCGATTACTCGTATTGTAACGGGGTGAATCGTTGCATAACAATTTATAAGAAATTGTTTATAGAATACAACTATAAGAGTTATATTCTCAGAACAGTGTCATAAGGACAAATATTCTGTAGCACTTACGAGTAGTTCCTAATTGGTTGATATAGGCCATTATATCAACCAACGAAGACGCGCCACGACAGACGCACGCAATGAGTGGTGAGCAGATAGTTGATGTACACATTTGTATTTAGACATAGCTAGATGAAGATAAATAGTGATTTATTGCAGACATTAAGTATGATAAATACAGTTCTACTTTTTACTTTAACCAAGTACTCGCTTCTTCTTACCGTCTTCCTCTGCACGTACGAGTGTACGTGAAGTTACGAGGCACCGCCTTATTCTGTCGTCAGAATAAGTAGCTTGCACTGTCACCAGTACAAGCTTCAGGGTGCCCCGTTACACCTGGTAGCACTTCGTAGTCCGTCCAAGGACCACGTTCACATCTAACATGAATATGTTGGATGATGAAGATAACCAAAGCTTTCACGCTACGCGTGACGGCTACTCCCATTTGAGCGATGTCGAATGGGATGCGGTTGAACGGATGGGTTCAACCATGGGCATCCATGCTGTTAGCGTCGTGCTAGAGGCTCTCAATAGAGATGCCCAACATGCTACTATCGCCAAGTTCATTCAAAATGAACTTGACGCCGAACGAGAGAAAGTAGCCTTGCTTCACCAACAAGGTTCTCAACAAGCAGAGTTGTTGAGAGAACAGGGTGCTCAACAGTTTGAACTGTTGAGACAGCAGCAGGCTGCTGCTGGTGGGTCGATACACTCGCGTCGACCCGAGACTTTGAAGATTGACATCTCCAAGTATAGGGGAGTCGAAGAAGACTCCCTCTTGAGATGGTTCGTCGAATTGGATGACGCCATAAGGGCGCGTCGCATCGACGACGGGGAAATGCAAGTCTTATTTGCCCAATCAAATCTGGCAGGACGTGCCCAGACTTGGGCACTGGGGCTCAAGTTGCACGACCCATATGCGTTTGGGTCGTTGAAAGTCTTTAAGTCGCGGCTTAGACAAACGTTTGAACCGCCTAGAGCTGAGTTCAGAGCTCGAACTGAACTCTTGAAGCTCAAGCAGGGTAAGTGCGATGTGCACGCTTACGCGCAACATATACGACATCTTACGAGTTGTATAAGTTCCAATCCGGTGGATGAACACACGTTGGTTTCGGTGTTCATGCAGGGTCTTGCGGATGGTCCCGTCAAGACTCATCTGTTCCGACTTGAACTAGATTCACTAGAACAAGCCATTTCCATTGCGGAACAGGAAGACTTCAGTCTGAGACAGGCTCGCGCCAGCTCGACATCGTATCGTCAACCGAGACGATATGACAACGGAGGTCCAGAGCCGATGGAACTCTATTATGTAGAGAGCGAGAAGGCTCGCTCTACAGACTACAAGAAGTTGCAGAGATGCAACAGATGTCAAAAGACAGGACACTACGCTTACGAGTGTAGTGCCCCTCGTCCAGTGTCTCGCAACACTGGGCGTAATGACCGTCCACCCATGAGAAAGGGGCAGGGACGCGGGTCCGCTGTTGGTGCAAAGACGCAACAACGGGATGGACCGTCAAAAAACGGACAGGATCAGTAGGTGCGGAGCACCCTACTGGTCCAGCAACGTCAAGAGAATTTGTAGGCCTCTTGATGAAGGTTGCTCCCAACACACAAACGTTGTGCGTTGCTGCTCTAGGTAATGAGATCTCACTCATTACCTTGAAACTCGAAGTGACGAATAAGTTGTCCCTTCGAGCTCTAGTCGATTGTGGGGCGTCCAACAATTTTGTGCGACGCCAATCGCTAGAAGATGGTCTCTTTAATTTCAGTGAATGTGACACACCTCCTACGAGGATGACGGTACGTCTTGCGACAGGCGCATCCGTAACCGTCATGAAGCGTATAGTGAAGATCCACTATACGCTAGAAGATACCCAATATGACAATGACTTTATCGTATTGGATTTGGATGACAAATTTGATGTCATCTTTGGAATCCGTGGTCCAGAAGGTACGAACCACGGGTAAACTGACAACATCGAACAGTAACGATGCCTGCCGCTTGTTCATCAGATGGCCATCTGATGAACGTTTTGGGGCGTCCACAAGCGTGTGGATGTACTACGAGTGAGTGCGATGGCCTCACTTGTGGTACGGTCGTTAGTACGACTGCACAAAACCTTAGTGTAACAAACGGTTACACTTCGGAGCAAAGTTCCGGCGACTGTGAGGAAACACAGGCTGCGCCGGAGGTCCACCACTCGAATAAGTCGAGTGGACCGGGACAAAGATGTATCCCTGGCGGGGAACAACTAGAAGAGAAACAATCGATAGCTCAGGTTAAGCGAAACGATAATCCTAGATCGACTGGAGAGTCTTTCGTAGAGGATCTCGCTGTGGTTGCGCGACCCCAGCTAGAGGAAGTAAAGGGAATAAGTCCCGATATAACATATACGGCGGAAATAAGTTCCCCAAAACCCGCGGGAATAAGTCCCCGGGAAGCCGAAGGAATAAGTCCTTCGAAGCCTGATGGAATAAGTCCCCAGAAAATGACAGAGACATTGAATGTCCTAGTCAATGACGGATCAAGTGTAGGCGCTTATACACTTGATCTGATTGCGCCTCCGAAGTTGACTTCGGAGATAACTCAGTTGCCAACGCTCGAACAAAAAGGTTCTTGCGTGATCTGCGTAGTGGCAAAGTCAGGCAGATCTGCGTACTCGTCGCTGACGACGAGTGTGTAGCCGACATAAGGTCAGCAACAGTGTTTACTGAGAACGAGAGAGTTCTCAGTTGTTCATCGATGGACGAGAGCGTCCTCGATGAAAAGACACGAGTTGAGCGACATGACTCCCAATCGTGGGAATCGCTCAAGGCAAATCTCTCTATGAAGATTTGGTTGAATTCAAGGATGTATTTCCTGAAACTGTTTTGTGCGAGTTACCGAAGGATAAAGGTATTCGACACGAGGTTGAGCTTAAACCAGGCTCGAAGTACTGTGTCATGAAGCAGTGGCCACTGCCTCGTGAACAAGTACTTGCGATCGACAAGTTCTTTGTCGTTCGTTAGATGCTGGTATTCCCCAAATAGCTCTCCGACCTTCTGTGTGCGAAAAGCAACAAGAGGGTGGCGGATTGTGCATGCATTTAACAAGTTGAATGCTGCAACGGTACCGGCTCAGACGCCGAAACCAAGGAAGGACGTAATCATTGATGGTATGTCAAAGAGTACCACCTTTTCGTCCATGGATTTGATGGATGGCTTCTATTAAATCCTTATGCGAGAACGGGATATACCCTATACCGCAGTAAGCACGCCTAGCGGCATGCTCTGGGAATGGCTAGTAATGCCACAAGGGCTTAGTAATGCCCCTGCCACGTTCAACAGATGTGTATCACATCTGTTGAGACCAGTACGAGAATTCGCACCGAGTTATTTCGATGATGTATTCATCCATAGTCGAGCTATGGATGGAAAGTCGGACGTTGAGGTTCACAGATACCACGTCCGACAGGTTCTTACAATCATGCGAAAGCATAAATTGTATGCAAACCTCAAGAAGTGTATATTTGCAGCAAGCAAAACCCCACTTCTTGGGTGCATCGTTGGTAAGAACGGTGTACGTCCTGATCCCGAAAAGATCAAGGCGATCACCGACTGTCCTGTGCCGGTTGATGTCAAAGGTCTTCAACAATTCCTTGGGCTAGCGGCGTATTTGCACAAGTATTCACGCAATTACGCCGAGATGACTGTACACTTCTCTCGTTTGTTGAAAAAGAACGAGAGGTGGGTGTGGAACGCTGAATGTCAGCGCTCCTTTGATGGTATCAAGCAGAGCTTGATACAATCCCCAGTCCTAGCAATAGCCGATCAGGACAGGCCATTTCATGTGGTCTGTGATGCCAGCGATTTCGCAATCGGCTGTGTA